GTTGGTAGGCAATAAGAGATGGAATAGAGGTGAGCGCTCTCCTTGAATCCTCTTGGCGATATCTGACTGCGCTCCGATCTATAAGGATCATATGGCCAATTCTTTTTTTTTTTTGGTTTACGGATGGCAGCGATCATGGTGATTGCACGGTGTAAGTCGCTGAAACTGCGAACATGGGGGGTTGATCACTACAACGACAATCTGGGCTAATACAATGCAAGCGTTCCAAAGTTAAGATCTGTTCAGATACGTATATGTTATCGATGCTGCATCAACCCTTTTCCTATTGTAAGTAATGTAAAACTTGAGTCGGTTCTTGAAAGGCTTCCTCTGCGTCAATCCCAGCTGAGTTGCCTGCCATCTGCATATTTGCGCAATAACTTGCCCTTGGTATATGTTTAATTACTTCGTACGCCTCCTTGATGTATCAAATCTCAAATAGCTCAATTGGAATAAGGTGGGAGGGAGCTGGCAGTGGGCTTCGCTCACTAAAAAGCCGTTAGGAGTGGGCATCTCCTAGCGGCAAGGGTGGCGTCTGTCCTGCCTCGGGCCGCTATAGTGCATCTGCCAGCGTAGCAGTGGCGGCCAGGGCACAGCACACATGTATGCGCCACTTGGATGTGATTACCGACCGTGGCTCAATGTAGAAATCAGTTTCCAGAACTGAACCGCTTTGAAGTCTACAAATCCTTGGCATGATACAAGATAGTATTCAGCTGAACTCCTAAATAGGTAGTAGATCCATGGATTCTGCCCCAAGTATCTCTGTCCCCTACACAAAACTTGGACTTTATGTGCACTTTTGTTCATTTTACGCACCTGTCCGCTGGTCTCAGTGTGAGTATTGTTAAAGTACTCAAAGTAAACAAGAAATCGAACTTGAATGGTCCTTTTCCAGATGCCAACACCTCGGCCTACTTCAAGGCATTGAAAAGAGATGGAGATGTCGATCTGGAGCAGTACCACCCCCATCGCATTTTGGCCAACGGGCTGCCGTCACCTGAGACCTTCTGCTACATTTTACCCTACAGTATGACGATTGACAGCAAAGGGATGAGATACGCAATTGTCCTGATTTCCCTGCCAACATACACTTTGACTATAATGGCCTTAGCTACCTACTTAACCCGATGGATGAACAAAATCGCGTTCAACCCACTTTGGTGCCTTGTCAGCTCTCTCTATTTCCACGAATACAGCCAAACGGTGGATTTTCCATAAAGGTAGGTATTTCACATTATGGCTTTCATAGCGCCAAGACGGCCAATCACCAAAAGGAAATCTGCAGTATCCTCCCACTGTACTTGGCCCGCTGTCTCGGAAAGGCCATAGGCAAGGCAGATAAGGTGTCAAAAATGTCAGACATAGGTGGATCGGCTGGTCCTAGTTATGAAGAGAAGTCATGTCAACAGGAAGCAGCTGAATGATCAGCTACGATGCGTCTCACGCCGTTCTCGCAAGTCTATCAATTCGTGGTTATGTATTACTCACCTCTGTAGCTATGACACTATGTGCCTAAGGGAAAAGATATGCCTTGTCGCACCCGATAAGTCGACCGGCCGGGCTCGAGTGTTTGCCAAACAATAACTCGAGTTTGCTTTGCGTAACACTGATCGGAAGTCGACATGGTCTTTCAAAACCCGGCTGCGGTAGCCGTATCTTGTTACTCACTGCCTTCTTTCTTTCATTCTTCCTTTCTCCCTCTACCCACTGCACAATCCATATAATCGACATGCTGACTTGAATACTTCCTTGTAGCGCAAATACAGCTCTCAGTTGCATAGCGCAGGATTCCCACGACTCTTCCGTTGAAGCTGGATAAGTGTGTGGCTTCGTTGTTTGACGATGTTTCCAGTGCATCAACCCATATACAAGCATTATTCGCATTTCCATCTCCTCCTAGCTTTATAATGGATATCAGACGGCCCGCAAACGGCATATTCTGCAACAAGTTGTTGTGGTTATATGGCAGCGTCTGCAAGTAGTGAAAAGGATCCTCTTCAGATACTGGAGAATGAAAAAGCACAAGAGATACTTTCCAAATGGGTAATGGGCTGTGTCATTCTTGCTGGTCCCTCGCGCTGAACATGGTCCGTCCAACCTCACACAGCGGCCGTCGTCATTCACATCCTTTGCCCGTGTTACTTGAGCAAAACAGTGATTCATTCTCCGAGTCCTAAACAAAATACGAACACGCTACTTGTTCATTGTAGTCAGTTCAAATCTACCTTGGTACTACGAGATCACTCTCCATGCACTGGTCGACCATTATAACGCGGTCTCTACTCTTCTGCGGTGCGACGTTTCCATGACTTCTTTGAGGTGCTTTGCAGCTAAATGCGATGCCCTTGACACTCAATCACAGTATCAAAGCAGATGCTTCAAAGGTTTCTGCAGCTTGGAGCATATCAACCGTGGCTGACTTCTGCATGTGGTACTTAAGGGTCTATAAACCATCCCCAGATCTATCTCTGGGCTGGCGAACAAATCGTCGTCCCAGGCAACCTCTGTTTGAGGAAATTCAAGTTTTCAATTCCATTGCAATTCACTCGCTCAAAACTGCTCCTTTTCAACTTGTACCACAGCTGCCTGTCGACTGGCGGACCAAGCCCTAAGAAAGAGCTTGGTTTTTAGGTGGAAACTACACTTGAGATTCCCGAGACGGTCACCACTACCTCACGTATTTCATACGTACACAAAAGCCGATCACGATCACATGAGATGAGCCTTCCGCCCGCCTTCTGGAACACGTAACCGGCACCCAACTTGGCGGTCAACCAAGGTCCGAGCACCGACTGGCATTCGTACTTTTCTTTTTATTTTACGACCACTTGCCTTTCCCTAACTGAGTCTGTGGACCCTCGACGCAGCCCAGTAGTTGTCTTCTATCAATCATCATAGTTGAACAGTCTTTGTGGACCATCGCGATCTTCTGCGCACTCTGAGCTCGCTCGCCATGGCGAAGCCATACAGCAACTCGGAAATGTCCGAACTCGATCGCGCCGATTCCACCACAGACAGTCTTCGTATATCGACGCGAAATGACTTCCACTACGGCCATGCTCCTCTGTCGCGCATGAGACAAATCATTCTGGTCGCCATGTGAGTTTTCAACTCTCCCCGCTGAAAAGGGTCGGCTTCGCATGGCTCATTTCGTCAGACTGCTACTAGGTTTGCTATTTTCCAGCCTTGACGCATCCATTGTCAGCACGTCTCTCGTCACAATCTCGGTCAACCTGTCGGATTTTGTCAATTCTCCCTGGGTTGCGCTCTCCTATCTCCTGGCCTACATGGGTAAGTATCCAGAGCTGCGTCCACTGCATCATTGGTTAAACTTGACTTAGGCTTTGCTGTGCTGTTTGCCAAGCTCAGTGACATCTTTGGCCGCAAGGAAATGCTCATAACAGCATGGACTCTTTTCACGGGTTTCTCACTTGGTTGTGGACTCGCTCCCAACATGCCATCGCTGTGGGTTTGCTCTGGCCAGTGCAAGATTTTTCTCTTGCTAACTGATTCTAGAATTGTATTTCGAGCTTTTCAGGGCATCGGCGGCTCTGGTCTGTACAGTCTGGCCCAAACTGGTCTATTTGAAGTTGGGCCTTCGGACAAGCCCAGTCTTTTGGGGGCTCTCATCGGAATGACATTGGCAATCTCGTTCGTACTTGGGCCTGTTCTAGGAGGCACCATTACACAATTTTCTTCGTGGAGGTGGATATTTTTTATCAAGTGTGAAGACTGATCCCCTCTGCTGGAGCACATTGGACTGACAATACCTCACAGCATCCCATTTGGCATTTTGGCACTTGTTGGTCTGCTATTCGCATGGCCACGTACCAATACAAGAAACTTTTCTGGGCTGTGGGATTCAATACGCGGGCTGGACGTGTTTGGAAACGTGATGATAATTTCTGCATCAAGTTTACTCGTCTATGCTCTACAGCAAGCTGGTGCCTTCAATTATGCTTGGGACAGCCCGGCCATAATTGCAGCACTCTCTATCTCCGCTATCAGCTTGGTCAGTTTCATCGGCTGGGAGATATACCTTGGACGAAAGCGCCACCCGTTTCTCCAACCAGTGCTTCCAATTCGAATCATGACCCAGAGACCCTTTTTGGCAGCCTTGAGGTATGTTGCAATTTCCAGGAGGTTGCATTTTTCTAACAATTCAGTTGCTCGTTCTTTGCTGGATTCGAATATCTGGCCGTCATAATCATTCTACCCGAGCGATTTCAAATTGTCAATGGCGACAGTTCGTTGATGGCCGGCATTCACCTTCTACCGCAACTCGGCGCCTGCGCCTTTGGATCGTTCCTAGCCGGAGCTGTCTCGAAGAAGCGGAATAATTCTGCCTTTACACTCATTGCTGCGTCTTGTCTCCAGTTAATCGGCTTGAGTCTCCTTTCCACACTCAGCAATGTGCATACCGCCATCGAAGCTCAGTACGGCTACCAAACCATCTTTGGCCTCGGCATCGGTTTGTCTTTCGCATCTGTTACCATTCTCACATCAGTGCGTGCTCATCGAGAGGATTTGGCCGTTGCACAAGGGGCCTTGGCACAGGCTCGCGTGCTTGGTGGTGCCATTGGAATTGCAATCTGCAGTAAGTTTGTTACTATGTCGATGTTTACGTCCAACAGTCACTGTTCCTAGACGGCAACAGTGCCAGATGGGGGGATGAGCTTGGACATATGATACAATTGGCTGACCAATGCAGTGATAATTGTAAACACGACCTTGCAAAACGAACTGGGCGACATGCTAGGCCCCAGAGACATGAGCGCTCTCCAACACAACGCACGCACTGCCCAGTTCTTTCCACCTGATATTTTGGAGAAAATCAAAAGCGTGTATGCTGAAGCATTTTCTGTCGACATCAAGATGATGATGGGTCTCTCTGTATTTGGATTGGCCACGAGCCTGTGTGCCTTTGAGCGTAACCCGCCGCCCATGCCCACCCAAGATTCACACAAAGAGACCGCCATTGGAGTTCAGCTCGAGCACAGTCAGGTGGAGTTGAATGAGTTTGCAAGATCTCATTAGGCTTTTGGCCAGAGGGACGTCAACCCCATCACGGGTTGAAGAAGGGGACCATGTAGGAACTATTACTGAGTGGCATGAGCTCTTACGGAACAGGATTATTCCATGACATATGGCTCTCCTCGTAATGTTTGTTTTACTGTTATTTAGTTTGTTGTCTGTTGTGCTCCTCGAGGCCACGGCATATTTGGTTGGAGTACTCTATTTGGCAACTTGTATTTTCAAGCCTGGGTGGCATCATTGGTATGGCGAAACTTGCATTTTCATTTTCCGCCTCTAGGAGCACAGATCAGATGTTGGGGTCTTGCAGAACCAACAACCCCTGAGAAATCAGAAGAATTGTTCAAATCATCATGCGAGAGGTTGACTAAGTGATTCGTGATCACCCATTGCTTTTGCTGGGCAGGGCAGGGGTCGGAAAACTATCGGATAGAAAAGTCAACGGTCAAAAAGTCCAGCAAGACTAAAAAGCTAGGTACCAGGTTAGGCAACTTGCCTGTTACAATGAGGATCACAAAGTTTGTTGAACTCTTCCGTTAACCCCGCAGAATGCTTGCGGCTCATATGCAAGCCGCTCCAGTAAATCCATATCTCGCCTAGGGGAGAGGGGAAATATTCTTGGGGATTCGGGGTTGTTTCCCGCCTCTAGGTCAGTCTCGGTTAGCACCAGCGATCAGAATATGCGGGCAGCACTGGGGAAGCCTGGAGCCGGCATCTAGATCGCTGTTGGGATGGTATGTTAACGAGGTGGACTTTACATCATTCACAAGCACTTGGTACGACCAGCAAACCATTTCCACCATTGTTGCGAACCTGCAAGGCGAACCCGGCAAGCATGACAAGTTCGGTTATCGAGCATGGCCAGGTTTATTGGTCGGTGAGGCCTTCCGACTGCGGGGAAGAACATTGTCCAAGCCTCTAGCGACGTGCAATGCCCGTGTACTGTATACTCTTTTCGGTCATGTTCCCCGAGAGCTATTACATGAAGGTATTATGACCTAAACGCTATGATGACTGCAATGTCGTATCTGCTGCTAGATGTGGGACGTTTTCCCGCAAGAAGCATTTAAAGTCTTGGGGATTTCCCCCATGATCGTGATGATGCTCCCCCTCAAGGCCCCTTCTACTGTTGTTTTCCCTCGGGCACCTCCCGTCTTTCTTGTTGGAGCAGCCACGGATTCTCTCTAGAGTGTGAATTTGTTTGCCTTGGACTTTCGAGTTTCGCCTCTCCAGATGACCATGTCGCAATCCTCTTCGCTGGCGGCGGCGCTCGCGCTGTTCGTGCGCTTTGGCTTGGCCGTCAACAATGGCCTGGCGAGAACTCCGCAGATGGGTTGGGGTAAGCGAGCACGGCCTCTACTGCAATTGCACATACCTTAAAATCCCCGAGTATACTAAAAGAATTGATACAGACAATTGGAACTCGTTTGGATGTGACGTATCCGAGGAGCTCCTGCAAGCTTCGGCCAAGTTGATTGTCGACTATGGGCTCAAGGACCTGGGCTACCAGTACGTCATCCTCGACGACTGCTGGTCCAACGGCCGCGACGACAATGGCACGCTGGTCCCCGACTACACCAAGTTCCCAAACGGCATGGCCGCCGTGGCCGACGACATTCACGACCTCGGCCTCAAGTTTGGCATGTACTCGAGCGCCGGCGTCTACACGTGCGGGCAGTATGCCGGCAGTCTAGGCTATGAGGAGATTGACGCGCAGACATGGGCGAGCTGGGGCGTTGATTATCTCAAATGTGTGTGAATTTCTTTTTCCTTTTCCCCCTTGTGTTCATGCAAATGTATCTCGAGCACATCGAAGCTGACTTTTGAGGGGGAAACCAATAGATGACAATTGCTACAACTCGGGTCAAGCGGGTACTCAGCAGATTTCGCACGATCGCTACAATGTCATGGCCAAGGCCCTCAATGACACTGGCAGACCTATTCTGTACTCCCTTTGCAATTGGGGCGAGGACTACCCCTGGAACTGGGGCTCAACAATTGCCAACTCTTGGAGAATCTCTGGTGATGTGACTGATTACTATGACAAGCCGGATGACCGATGCCCTTGGTAAGCAACCCATGATTTTGGACCAGAAATAATCATGGACATTGACTGACAAATACCAGTGACGGCCCAGATGCTTGGGATTGTGGCCTCCCAGGTTGGCATTGCTCGCTGCTCAACATTATCAACAAGGTAGGCGTGCCATTGAAAGCCAAAGAATCTGATCGAAGACTGATATTGGACAATAGGCATCTTTCATCACTTCCAAGGGTATCAAGGGTGCTTGGAATGACCTCGACATGCTAGAGGTCGGTAATGGAGGTATGACCGATCCCGAATACCTGACGCAATTCTCCGTGTGGTCTGCAGTCAAGAGGTGAGCCATCAACGAACTTACGAATCTTGTTTCACAAAAGCTAATTTTTATACAAGTCCCTTGATTCTCGGCAATGATCTGCGTATTGTGCAGCCTCAGGATCTGGCCATCATCTCCAACGCGGCCATCATTGCCGTCAATCAGGACCCCCTGGGCAGCTCTGCCTCGCGGCGATGGTTTTACGAAACCGACGACATTGATGAGTACGGCAAGGGCAGCTATCAGGTCTGGTCGGGTGCGCTCTACTCGACGACGGGCGGCGACTACTACGACGTGCTCGCCGTCTTTGTCAATGGCAACAACTCGCCGCTCACCATGAACGCGACGCTGCTGGAGCTGTTTGCCGACCTAGGCAGCACAAGCGCCGAGGCCTACGCTGCCCTCTCGTGGGAGGTCAACGACCTCTGGGGCAACCGCATGTCCAACGAGGAGGCCCAGGCCATTATTGACGCCGCCTCGGGCAACTACACGGGTGCGGCCTGGAACGGCACCAGCACCGACCGGTACAATGCCACGGCCAAGTCGTACGCCCAAGGGCTCGCCGAGGCCGACCCGCTGTTGCTGGGCACCAAGACCACCACGGTCGCGCCCTCGGGTACCGTCGTGGCCGAGGTCGATCGTCACGGTGTTGCTGTCTTTAGACTGCGCGCCATTCCTACCGAAGCGGCCAGGAAGCGGGAGTTGTAAGTATGGCCGCGAGTAACTGAAGACGCCACGTAAGGCGATAAACACGATATATACTCTGTACTCCGTAGAATAGTATCAGAAATAAGCAATGTATAATGATGAACAATTATCAATGCTTGCGTTGATTCCTCAAGCGCCCTCAGCTACAGTGAAGACGAGAATCTGAGTCATTTTTTGAAAAGCGCCTGAAATAACTGGTCTTAGGTATCTATGGTGTCCCGTGAGAGCTCACGCATAATGTGGTATCGCAAATTTTGATCTGGAGGTTAGAAAAAAGCAATGGGATAAACGAAACTCCAACATTTGTCACACGGTTCGCCAAGGGCCTGGCCATCTGCGGGCTCAGGCACTAAAGTACGGTACTTGAATGTTAGTACGGATCACTGTAGCATCGCTTGTGCGCCGTGGATCCGGGACCTGTTGGCAGAATTGGAGACGCCCAGGATAACACAACCCCACAAACAACCTTGGAACTCTTTCGGACTTGGGTCGCTCAACGGGACTTGGTCGCTCAAGATTCATAGTTTAGCCATGGCAGATCAAATTCCTCCCAACCAAGCCCCGGTATTTGTCGCGGCCATACCTACTCCAACTTTGGGGACTGGAGGCTCTGGGAGTGTCGTCTTTTCGACTGCAATAGCCGCCACACCGGCCAGGTGCCTGGAGATTGTACTGAACCCGACAACATATCCCTCGTGGAACAAATGGGTCCCGCGCGTGGTCGTCACCTCGGCCTCTCCCACATCGGCACCGTCCGTCCTGCCCGAGTCGTTGGCGCAGCTAGCCACGAGTCAGCAGCTTCTCGTGCCGGGCACCAAGTTCTGCTTTGAAGTCCACATGGATCCCGACAGCGCATCGTTTCGAAAGACGGATCTCGAGGTCACGGTGCTGGAGGCATTCGAAGAGCAGCAGCGTGGGGGTAGCGACGGCGAGCATGGCGACAGCCGTAAAGGGTGGAGGGTCGTGTGGAAGACGCAAGGTGATCCGTGGTACCTGCGCGCCGAGCGCGTGCAAGAGTTCCTCGAGGACGGCGCGGGAGGATGTCTGTACACGAATTACGAGACCTTTCATGGGCCATTGACGTTTGCGGTCAAGACATTTGTCGGAAAGCAGCTGATGGCCGGATTGACCTTGTGGATGAACGGACTAAAGGCCGCAGCCGAGGCGACATCGTGAAGGGAAAGCTCTCTCTGTGCATGCGTAGGAATTGTGCGTCGTTCTGTTCCCTCGGGACGTCTGCTGAGTAAAGCTAGAAAGAATGAGAGAAACCGAGAGGGTCATCAAGGAGGCTCTGCCCTACTACCCTACTCTGTACGTACATGATTTGTGTATTTCAGCGATCCACTGTCTGCGCAATGCGCATTATGACGATGTGCGTCTCAGCATGCCTATTTAGAATAGGTTGCAGTAAATGAGCAAGCGGCATCCGGAGAAAAATGGCAGCTCTAGACTCTACGGACAATCTTGGACCTGCGATTTCCTGCGAGGCTTTTCATGTACGCCATCTATTAATATATCACTGTATGCTCGCTTGAAAAATAACCTCCCGTTGTGACGGCGGGTGATGACGAGGCCTGCTAAAAGCTAGCACGCTTTGAAACAGAATACCTCCGCGTACCTTACCCATCAGGTCGAATGCCAAGTGAATATGGAGTTCTCGGTTACCATTGCTCCCCCACCTTACGCAATGGGGGCCCGTTAAAAAGAATGAAAAAGGCACCACCCAACCCATCCTACCATCAGTTGCGCGCGCCAGTCCAAAAAAGAGGTTACGGGTACCTTGCCTGGGGGGCGATGGCGCAACGCAACCAGCAACCAGACACACAGGAAATCCCAGAGCTTTCTCCACACAGCGGTTTTTTGGTGCGGTGCCGGGCGTGCCCATTATTACCCAGTGTGCAGTTTTCCCAGTTTCGGCTGCCATTCGCGACGCGGTCAAACAGGCGACAAGTAATTGAGAGGCCAGCCCGTCCATCAGAGAACCAACTACGTACTACAGACTTGTGAGCAGCACCTCTGTGCTCCCCTGTTCTTTTTTTTTTTCTCTTGACTTTCTTTGGATTGATTAGAAATCAGACGAATGTCCTTACGATGATTTGTCTTGACTCCCCGTGTTCTTGACTACACACCCAATCTAGGTAGGGCTGCTTATCTCTGGAAACCAATTCGTGCGAGGACGGCCGAAAGAAGCTTTTCTTTCGTCACTCAACCATGTCCCAACCGACATCGTCCCGGCGAAGTGCGTCTGCGTCGTCTAGTACGGGCCAGCAGCAGCGGGCTACGCGTACTGGGACCCGAGTCCATCGGGGCTTAACCTGTCAGAATTGCAGTATGTTCTACTACCGCATCCCGTCAGCGGCGTCCTTCCCCGGACCCGTATATCTTAAGACCGAGATACCTTCTCGGACTTCCGAGTCGGCACGTCCACTCTCTATTTTTAATGCCCTTGTAACCACAAGAGACGATCTCCCTCTTTACCAAGTTCCCCCAAGTGGAGAGGGCGGAAGAGACTCTACCTTAGTCAGGCGATTACTAACGGCACCACGACAGGGATACGCAAGACCCGTTGTGATGGCACACAACCGCAGTGTAAGACTTGTGAGGTGTACCAGGATGAGTGTCGATATGAGAAGCCGCCGCCCATGTCTCAGATTGTTGGCATGGCCAAGAGGCTTCAAGAAGCTGAGGCCACCATAGTCGAACTGAAGAGGGCCTTGGAGCAAATGAGCACAGAGCCAAGAAAGCCAATTGTTACAACGTCCGACACTCTCTCCGGTCAAATTTCTGCTGCCGATGCACCAATAGCTTCTCTCCCTGGCGCCTATGTTGAGGTGCCTCGTACCACCTATGCACTGGGCAGGTCTGCGACAGAATCGAGGAGTTCCACGACGGAAGAGCTGCTCTCTGATATCAGTCTCGATGCCAGCGGCAAGGTACGCTGTTGTGCTACAGTCGCAATTCAAACAACAATGGTGCTCATTCATTCTTAGGTGTGCTATCATGGCGCAACATCTGCTGTGCATGACCCGGCTGCCGTCAGCAATCGATCCCCAAATTTCCAGAGCTTCAACGAGCAGAACTCAAAGATTGATGTGCGCACGCTTTTAACTTCAAATGCCATGGAGTCGCGTACATGGGAGGAGTTTGCTATTGGCAATGCAGCTCTACAAGTAAGTGTCCCCCAGCCTCTCCGACAACACGCTGTGATATCGGTGGTATTGATCTTGTCTGAGTAGAATGACATGCCCCGCGATCTCATGTCAAGGCTCCTGCGGATACACTGGGTTACCATCGGCCCAATGTTCATGTGGGTGTATCGTCCAGCATTTATGCGTAAGCCATCGCATGACAACTCCAGATTGGCTGAAATGGTTCAAACTAATACCATATTTAGGAGACATGATGACCGGGGGACAGTATTACTCCCCACTGCTGCTAAACGTCATGTGTGGACATGCTGCCCGCTTCAATGAGAGGAAAATAGCCGAGATGCTGATCGCACGCGCGAGGCTTCTGCTTGGGGCCGAAATACATAAGCCAAGTTCTATTCCAACAATTCAAGCATTACTACAAATGAGCGCGAGAGATCTCGCATACGGCCAGGTATCCCAGGCGTGGACGTACAGCGGTATAGCTTTCAGAATGGCTCACGACATGGGCCTTCGACATAGTAGCGGCTCAATCTATAGCCTGGGCAGCTTAAATGCAGAGGATCTCGAGATACGAAGGCGCTGTTTCTGGAGCTGCTATTTTTGGGATAAGTAGGTCTATCTCCTTTCATACGATGAAGTAGCCGACATATACTGACCACTGGAATCTAGAGCAATGAGCCTCTATCTTGGTCGGATGCCTGCTCTGACTGAGCTGCCATCGATTCACTACCCGGAGCTCCTGGATGACTTCCAAGAACATGACCTCTGGATCCCCGACGATGCGCCGACAGCAGGTCCAGACGATTCAACCCCTGTCTTCCCACCTATGAAGTTCCACATTGTTTCCAGTTTTGTGAATGCTTGTAAGCTCGCAGTCATCATCAGCGATATCATTCTTTGTCTGTATTCAGGCCGCCACGGAGAAGATGTGAATGTGGCTTCGAGGGCTATCAGGGAGAGGTTGGATTCGTGGAGGGCACTTACGCCAGATCATCTAAAGATCGATCCGAATAATCTGCCAGAGATATGCCCTGTACCACATATCGTCAGCCAAAAGTAAGCCCTGCACACATGTTTTTATTTGAGTGACCGAGCTAACACAAACTCAGCCTATTGTATTATGCTACTACTATACTTTTGCATCGACCTTTCAATTCGTCTGCAGTACATCACGCGGCCTGTCGTCAGGCTGCCGACAGCGCAGAGAAGTTAATACTGCTTCAGGAGCGAACTCATGGTCTCCCTAAGCTGTCCTTTTTGTCGGCATACTGCATCTACACGGCCGCATCTGTATTGGTGCAAGATGCAAAAGCAGGCGAGCCGGTTGCAAGCAGGAGGATAAACACATTCTTACGAACGCTAGCCACACCCGCCAAGACGTGCACATTGATGCAGCGCAGTATGGATATTATCACAAGCAGTCTCAACTCTGAGGCAGCGACTCCTCTACCCGTCACCAAGTCAGAGCAAACGTCTGACAATAATCCCCTGACGAGACAGTGTCTTCCAGCTTTTCTCTACCAAGATACCCACCTCGATTATGCAGCCGGTCCCAATGTGGGTGGAATGGACCTGGACGCCTCGTCGCTACTAGACTGTTACCCCGAGCAGCACATGGAAAGCTCGAGCTCAACAGGAAATTGGTATATGCCTCCAGGACCATGATAGTCAGACTAGGGCAGGACTTAGGTCTACATCGTGTTACTCTCGTCCTAGGCGGATTCTATCACTCTCCATGCTGTGGCAGACATCTAATCTAATCCTTGTCACAATGGCAGAAGAAGTACACCTTGGCAACCAGTACCACAACAGACGCTGTATAAAACCATACCATTATGATAACAAAACATGTATCCCTCAGATCATCAATGCTAGCTCATGAGTGGTCACGAGCTGGGGGCCGTTATTTCAGATCTGCTGCTTGTATCTCGCTATAGACATGAACCATGCATGCATGAATCTAGTATTCACATGTTATTTCGATTATACTGTAATTTTGGCCTGATTTTCTCCAAGTACCTATACACACAGTGGGGCCGGTGTCGAGGCCCATCGTAGTCCACTGGCGTCCAAGAGAATTGTCATCAGAGCGACCGGCAAACGTTGACCCCGCAGTCCCGCATCGAACTCCCGACCTCAGATTGACCCCGCGTCAACGTGTTTCCCTATGCATCAACCTCATCGTCGGCTGCTTCGAGGAATAATCACCAATGGTGCGCAAGCTTTGGTCTTGTGATGTAGGTCTTGCTAGAAGTCTAGCAATAGTCACATAATTCCTTGGTTTGAGGTTCTATTGCGGTTGTCGTTTCGCCTACCTGCATATATCCGAGATATATCCTAGATATATCCATTTCCTTGGAGCCGTCTGTGATATCAATTGCCGGATCGCAATCAAAGTAACCTATGCGAGCTCGTGCGATGGGACCCGATGACCGATTGATCACCTCAGCATTTATAAGGCACTAGGTCACTCCGTATTGTGTTTGACTATATATAATCCTCTATCAACTCTATATCATAACCCGATTCTTCCCTACTAACACTATCTTGCCTCTTCATACTGATTTGACCCGCTGCTCCGACAAACACCATGTCTTCAGGATATAACGGGCCGCCGCTGCTCGACCTCACGATCGACAACATCACCCCAAATACTAACCTGATCAATGCTCAGTGCAAAGATGCGCGGCTCAAGTACCTCATGTCACGCCTTGTGACGCATCTCCATGACTTTGCGCGGGAAACTCGACTGAGCACCGAGGAATGGATGGCAGCATTGAACTTTCTTGTGGCATGTGGCCAAATCAGCAGCGACGTCCGCCATGTAAGATCCCCCGTCTCCGGATTTCCCACAGCTCTCCTTCTTTTTTTTTTGAGCTAGGCATGTAGAGAGGCGAACAATGCTAATGTGAGGGGCACTCCCCTGCCCTATATTGCAGGAATTCATCCTCCTCTCCGACATTCTCGGCCTCTCGCTGCTCGTCGACAGCATCAACCACCCCAAGCCGCCGGCGTCGACCGAGGGCTCGGTGCTGGGGCCCTTTCACACGCACGACGCGCCGACCATGCCCAACGGCGGCGCCATGTCGACGGACCCCGAGGGCGAGCCCATGCTGTGCGTCTGCACCGTCAAGGACACCGAGGGCCGGCCGATCCGCGGCGTCAAGATTGACATTTGGGAGACGGACAGCAGCGGCCACTATGACGTGCAGCACGAGGGCCGCGACGAAACGGGGCCCAGCGAGCGCTGCGTCATGGAGAGCGATGAGCAGGGCGTCTTTTGGTTCAAGGCCATCAAGCCCGTCAGCTATCCCATTCCGCACGACGGACCCGTCGGAAAGCTGCTCGATAAACTAGGACGGCATTGCTGGAGGCCGGCGCATCTGCACTTTATGTTTGATAAGCCAGGTCTTGACAAGTTGATCACGTATGTCTTGTTTCCCCCACCTCCCGACCTCGCCTGGTTTCGTTGAGGCTACGGTCTACACAGAGGTCAAGATGAAAGGGAATCATGAGATGAAGAGAACTAATTTGCAACAGTGCCCTATACCTGCGAGGAGACCCCTACGAGACATCAGACGCCGTGTTTGGCGTCAAGCAAAGCCTCATCGTAGACCTGGACAAGGTCGACAAGGAGACGGCCTCCAAGTATGATGCCGAGGAGGGCCATTGGCTGCTGAGGCATGAATTTGTCTTGGTGACGGAGAAGGAGACGCAGGACCTGCGGGACAGGAACGCCGTCGAGGCGCTCGAGAAGCTGGGTCTGAGGATGAAGCTGGTTGATCACCTCCCTGTCCCGGAATTGGACTAAGAAAAAAGAAAATAAAGCGGCAAGATCATACTCATGAGTTGCCTGATTACTCAATTGATGCCATGGTCTTGATCATTGATTGAAAGCAATCAGACCATTAGTCAACTAATATCTCACTAATTGAGACGAGCTAGCTTTTAAATAGTCCAAGTCAGCTGGCGTCAGAAGTCGGTGTGGTCTTGATTATATATGCAGGTAATACGATGAAACAGCTTATAAATCAGTAAAATACGCGGGTTAGCTAGCATGGTACGAAGCATCCCGAAGTATACCTAGGTAAGTTGTCTCAACTCAAGCCACACACACTGGAGAGGTATTTTGTGAACCTCCAGTGATGTGCTCAGCATTCACTTTTTCGTTCCGGGACCTACAAAGGAACTGATCAATATTTGCATCGGAAAAGCCGAGATGTAAACTCGCGTAGTAATTCCAACCGAGTCGACAAGGTGACCGGAAGACGCAAAGTGGTTTAGCGTTGTATTATAGCCGACTCACCTCCCGATCATCTTCTCAATTTTGACATCAAAAAGCGTGGCACAACGAGAAAAGAGGACTCACTTGTAGCATCTCCCTGACGATCAGCAATTAAGCATATTTTACCCTTGTGGTACCTGCGTAGTGTGTAGCAGTCGCAACGTTTGCCCGTTATGATGAGATGATGAGAAGGCTGAAGTGGGGCTTATTTCGAAATAAAGTACCTTATATTGTACTATATATTCGAATCGTCTGAAGAATTGCTCGTCCCGAAAAGGATGGCATGGCTCCCTGTATAGACTGCCATTTCTGTTGAGTTTTAAATTAACCTCACCGGCCTGTATCTAAACATTGACTTGTCAGGGTAATTGTAATGGTAAATAAGGTATGTAATTCGCCAAATCACCTCGCCAGCCTCGGCATATAATCACGGTACCTGCTATAAGTCATTCAATGATTATATTAGTCACATTATTGTCTCTTCGACGTGTTACTAAGGCTCTGGTTTCGTATTCAGTACCAATCTGGTGCACACAGTCTACCGTATGTGATGTTTCATCTTCATGTTAGCCAAAACTCGTCGAGATGCCACGACCAATGACTAAATCCTGAACAATCCCCCCAACAGACTCTTGTGGGACAAAATGAGGCCGAGAAATCATGTGTAATAGACGACGATCGTACTTCTGAGCAGGCCAGACAACAGGGGCCCGACTTCCGCCATGGCCAGAGAACGAATTATACACGAATACACACTCGGCCGAGGATTGCATGTTCAGATGATTGCAACTTTGTGTGTGTGTGTGCGTCGCATCACCCAAAGTAACGTGTGTATGATAAGAGAGCTGTCTTAACAACAAGGTGTCCTCAAGAAGAGCCCGCCAACGTTCCATATGAGGTTCAACATGGCCCAAAACGGAAGTTCTGGTTCAACATGATACAGATGATGAAGGCCAAGTTGGGACGGTTACACTGGAGCAAAAGCCACGGAAGTCGTTACGGTTACGGTTGTCGGCAGTGGGTACTAGATACGGCTAACGGTCCCTGAGAGACGGGAAGGGGTGGGGACTTTGGGGAGGGCCCAGGGCCTGTTCTGCTGCAGTTGAGGTTAAAAACGCTGCGCTAGAGGTCGAGGTTCCCATTGAAAGCGGCTCTTGGCGATGCGCATTCTAGTGCACTTTGTCATGATTGACGACATGGGCTCGGGTTCTATCTCCGTAGGCGACGGGGGGCAAAGAAGCAACTTGGAGGCAGATCCAGTGCTACCTACGCAGATTGTACTAAGGCGGGCACTATCTACGTATCTATCTATCTCCGATTATATACTGCTCTCGTTTCCCCCCCTGGGCCAACCCGCGAAATTCATACATGTGACGGTGTCGCATCGGTTCCTGCGTTCGATTTCACGTGGCTCAGCAGCAACAATTGAGCTGCCAAAACCATATCGGACAGGCCCTCAGCGACCGGGCAGATTGAAGATCACTCGGCTAGGGTACCCAGTTGCTAGCCCAGCTTTTACCTCCCTACTCCAGTAGGTCACCGCCCGCCTTGTCGTGTGCCGAGTCCAACACAGGCTATAACGGGTAGCCTCTGAGCACGCCATCGAGGCTAAACGATATCCAATACTTTGTGCTCCATTTTTGCGACTTTGGGGACAGTAGCAGAGGAAAAAAAAAACCAAAAAAAAACCAGAACTCTCCACACACGGTTGACCATAGCAACATGCATGCAAGAATACTACTCGTGCTGGAGACCTCGAGAGTCGAAAAGCTTCCGGGTACCGGCTCCAATTTCCTCGATGGGGACAAGTTCGCCTTCCTGGCGACCAGGTTGATATGCAGAATCCGCAGCAAATGTCAGAGCCTCAGAACGCTTGGTGGTGACAATGTTTGATGCCGACCCAGAGTCCCGTATGTATTACTAAAAGCACATGTAGTAAATCTGCCATCTCCTGGAAATACCCGGACCAACCGTCATCTTTGGCCCTGTCATTTGAGAACCAGTCTACCACAAACAGGTACCTTTTTTTTTTTTTTTTTCTGGTGTGTCCTGGTCTGGGGTGGTCCATGGCCAATCTCTGAGCGGTCTTACGCCTTCCATTACAAGCCACTGGGAAGTAGTCTGCTCCTCCGAGCTCGCTGTTTCGTCATTGTCTACTATAATTATTTTTCTCTCTTACTCTCGTACTTCCTTCGGCCCTTGATCCTTTATTCCTCCTCTTATATTCCTTCACTTCCTCCCTCCTTCATCGTCTTCTCCTCCCAGTCGTCCTCCATTCTCTCTTGCATTGCTGCTTGCTGTCTCGTTGGCGCATTGTGAAAAAAACTATCGTTATCGGACCCTCCCTTCACTTACATCACCCTCCCAACTTACACAATGGCCAACCCACCCCACGGCGGTATCCTCAAGGATCTCCTCGCCAGAGATGCTCCCCGACACGATGAGCTCTCTGCCGAGGCCGAGACTCTTCCTGCCATTACTTTGACCGAGAGACAGCTTTGCGATCTTGAGTTGATCCTCAACGGTGGTTTCTCGCCCCTCGAAGGTACGTCTTGTCTGGTTTTGCCGCGATCGTCGTTGGACCCTAGGACACTTTTTTTCTCGGCCCTGGATGGATAGGATAGGCGCATGGCGGGGCACAATCTGAGTGCCCCGCCATCGTCGTCATGAAATTCGTGTCGCCATGACTAGGGGCCATAGGAGAGGCTATATTGCAACAATTGCAGTGAGATTGAAGCTTACGCGATGCCACTACAGGTTTCATGAACGAGGCCGACTACAATGGGTACGCAAACCAATTTCGGGAAATCTAGAGCCAGTGAGCTTGGACATTGGGGAGAGAAGCTAACAGAAAACTTTCTACAGCGTCGTCAAGGAGAACCGTCTCGCCGATGGCGCTCTTTTCTCCATGCCCATCACCCTGGACTTGTCGCAAGAGACCATTGATGAGGTCAGCCTCAAGCCCGGACAGCGCGTCACCCTGCGCGATCTCCGTGATGACCGCAACCTGGCCATTTTGACCGTTGACGACATCTACAGACCCGACAAGTGAGTAGTCCATGCGCGCCAATACGCCGCCAAGCCGCGCGTCACTTTAGCCACTAATCACGTCTTCACCAACAGGCAGCTCGAGGCCAAGGAGGTCTTTGGCGGCGATGAAGAGCACCCCGCCGTTGCCTACCTCTACAAGACTGCCGGCGAGTTCTACGTCGGTGGAAAGATTGAGGCCATCAACCGCCTCCAGCACTATGACTTTGTCGATCTCAGATGTAAGTTTATGCAACTATTGTGGAAATCAATACGGGGACGCAGTTTCTAATGATGGTTTTTTTTTTCCTTTGCGCAGACACTCCCGCCGAGATCCGCCTGCACTTCGACAAGCTGGGCTGGACCAAGGTTGTCGCTTTCCAGACCAGAAACCCCATGCACCGCGCTCACCGTGAGCTTACTGTACGCGCCGCTCGCTCTCACCACGCCAATGTCTTGATCCACCCCGTTGTCGGCCTGACCAAGCCTGGCGACATCGACCACTTCACCAGAGTCCGTGTCTACAAGGCGCTTCTGCCAAGATACCCCAACGGCATGGCAGTCTTGGGTCTCCTGCCATTGGCCATGAGAATGGGTGGTCCCCGTGAGGCTATCTGGCACGCCATCATTCGCAAGAACCACGGTGCCACCCACTTCATTGTTGGACGTGACCACGCCGGTCCCGGCAAGAACAGCAAGGGTGTTGACTTTTACGGCCCCTACGACGCCCAGTACGCCGTCGAGAAGTACAGAGATGAGCTCGGCATTGAGGTTGTTCCCTTCCAGATGATGACCTACCTGCCCGACAGCGACGAGTACGCTCCCATCGACACCATCCCCAAGGACGTCCGCACTGCCAACATCTCTGGTACCGAGCTGCGCTCCAGACTCCGAAGCGGCCGTGATATCCCCGAGTGGTTCTCGTACCCCGAGGTTGTTAAGGTCCTCCGCGAGTCGCACCCTCCACGATCGCAGCAGGGTTTCACCATCTTCCTCACTGGTTACCAGAACAGTGGCAAGGATGCCATTGCCCGTGCCCTGCAGGTGACCCTCAACCAGCAGGGTGGCCGCTCGGTCACTCTCCTGCTCGGTGAGACGGTCCGATCTGAGCTCTCTTCGGAGCTTGGCTTCAGCCGCGAGGACCGCAGCAAGAACATTGGCCGTATCGCCTTTGTTGCCGGAGAGCTGACCCGCTCCGGTTCCGCCGTCATTGCCGCCCCGATCGCCCCCTACGAGGTCGACCGCGCCAGCGCCAAGGAGCTGGTTGAGAAGTTTGGTGACTTTTACCTCGTCCACGTCGCCACCTCGCTCGAGTACAGCGAGAAGACGGACAAGAAGGGCATCTACAAGCGCGCCCGCGACGGCGAGATCAAGGGCTTCACCGGTGTCGATGACCCCTACGAGACCCCCGCCAAGCCCGACCTGGTTGTCGATGCTGAGAAGCAGACCGTCCGTGCCATTGTCCACCAGATTGTGCTGCTCTTGGAGAGCCGTGGTCTGTTGGACCGCCTGTAAAAGGTTTCTTTATGATTCATTGAATAGCCTGGGGTCTTTTCTTTTTTTTAATGGCGGGGTCTCTTTTTCCTAGCGTTTTTATGGGTGCATTTTTGGGTCATTATTCAGGTTTACCTATATTTTTTCCACCTAAAACATCTCGGATTGTTTATAGAAAGAAATGTGATGGGAAGAGTGGGAGCGCAACACAACAAAGTTGTGACGATTGTCTAGAAGAGACGGTGTCACCAAAGTACATATCATGTCGTAGATCATGAGACAGCCCTAAAGAAGGCTTTTATGAAACCTGCAAACTTTGTGTGTGTTCTTGCGTGCGATCTGCGATGAAGCGGGTGATGCCGCGAAAATTGATAATATGAAGCGTGCATCAGTCACACGGCAGCAGTGTCCCGAAGTTGCACAATTGTTGTTGTGCCCAGTACCTTTGACATGCGGAGGGTCGATTGCCTTGATGCTGCAAGCACAACCAGTGTATATCAGCCTTTTTGAGATGCCGGGATCCGTGTGTCAAGTAGGTAAGATGTGTCGCGGAACCGAGAAATTAGAAAGAGAGACAAAAGAAGTCCATGTTTTGTTACAATTTCTCTTCCTTTCCTTATTCTTTTCCCCACTTGAACAAGTGGTTATTCATTCACGGCTTGCCGACTGAGATGACAATGTGCTCCCGAAAATCATCAGTGACCCGAGCCGAGAATCAGAATCCATCCATATGACTGGCCAGCAGGCGCTTAAAGCATCAATGCCCCTCACTCACCAGTTTGGTGCTTCCAACAAAGGGAGGGGGCGGGGAAATGGCGGTATCGCGAGACTTTGCTGCCCAATGCTATTGCGGTGTGGGAGGCGGGTATCCAATACTTTATTGTCACCGGTTCAAAACACCCCCAATCCATCATTGCCTGCCTACCTCTATGAAACTGTAAGGTCTTTTTCTTGGCAAGCTATTTCTAGATGTGGCGGCCAGCGGCAAACAAGCCTGATGAAGCACATGGAACCTGAACTTGCATGCACTGGCTGTTCGTTGGGGGACCTATCCTACGTATATGGCTTCAGGTAAAGGGTATTTCCATACTGGGTGATTGCACTGTGATTGTGCCACAAGCTGGTGTTGGAAGATAACCGCTAGAATACGTGCAGTAGTAGCTGAGATCAGAGACTCTGCCATCATGATATACATGCACGACATTGTACGTGTTTTGCCACTTCATTGAAAGGTTACCTACCAGTCTCATTGACACATGCCATGGAGTGGAAGCATGTACCCAACAAACAAGACTATTACCAGAAATAGAGGCAGTAGTAAGCAGCATATGAAGGCCTCCCAATCCTGTATGACGACATTCCAGTACGGTAATAAATGGGCGTTGAAATAACGTTAGTGTCCGGTTCGTCTGAAAACTTGTTCGCGGATCTTTTGGTCGGAAATATATTAAAAAAACTCGAGATACCAGAGGGAGCCATCCGCTAATAAGAAACCGAACCGTGAATGACAGGCCACGGGTCCATAATTTTATTAAAAAGTGATTCAGACTTGTCACTCTGCAAGATCTTCATATACGACGACGACTCATAGTAATTCCTTGGGTCACTCTTCCTTTTTTTCCCGCTTCGAATGCAGGAGACGAACACAGTGCCGCCAAATATAGATGAGGAACAAACCTTCTAAAATGGACCCCGCCTGCCCGCAAGCCTGAGCTCTTAGGTACCTACCTTACCTACATTACACTACCTCACAAGCCCTGTCGGCCCTGTTGGCATTCAAACCACATCAGGCCGCCGCTGGAAAAAGCCCCCCTGCAATCCCTGTGATCTGCTCCCGCCTCCATCGAATCAGCACACGCAGCGTTGCACGTCAACCCAGCGCAGCCGCCGGGCTTCAACGAGAGAAGGGAGTCTGCGTCCGTCGAATGCAACTCACAGTAGTAGTGTTGCTTGTGTGCCACATTTGTCTCCGAACCGCCCATTCGACTCTGATCCTTCTGCCGAAGCGATAGTTTATTCCCTCGACGACAAGACACAGGACGAACCTCTCCACATTGATCGGTGTGCACAATCCGGAATTGCGTTGATATTACCAACAGCTTTTCCCCGACCACCTCTCGCGGGAGATCGACCGCCGGTTTAACCTCAGAGGATACTGACAGCTCAGCCCTTCCCTGCCGAATTTAAACCAGCTGTCGGGCCCCGGTTGGGCTCCCATGGTGGAACCACGATACTAAACCCGCCAGCCTCAGTGTGCCAGGTGCCACTGGAGCTCAACGGAGAGAAGCGCCGCAGTCGGTCGGAAAATCACCTGCCTGGCCATATCAGCCTACCAGCCATGGGTTCAGTGTCGCGAGATAGGGCGGTCGACCCCTCCGACATATCGGGCAGCGTCGCCACCGCCAGCGACGAGCGACTCCGGCGTACCAAGAGCGAGCGTGTTAAAGGCGAGAAGGACAGGGACCAGTCCCGCGAACGAACCCGGGACAGGGACAGAGAGAGAGACAGAGAACATCGCCACCGCAGCAGCCACAAGACCAAGTCGCGCAGCTCCAAGATGGCCGCCGACGGCGAGTCGCAGACCTCGACGTCGCATCGCCGACATCGCACCGAGGAGGAGAAGCAGCGTCACCGCGAGCGCAAGGAGGAGCGCGAGAGGGAGCGCGAGGAGAGGAAGAAGACTTCAAGTATGAGCGATCTGGTCCCCGAGATGAGCAGGAGCTCGCTGCAGTCGAGCAGGGTTAGTCTGCCGTATCCATCTTTCAGCAAGGCACACAGCAAGGAGGACGTCTCTGCCGTTCGAAATGTTGAACGTGAACCGCCCACGCCAGAGCCTACCGACCTGGGCCCCAAGCAAAGCAGGAGATCCAAGTCACCCAACAGATCGGGAAGTAGTGCTAGCAGCACCAGGAAGGCAAGCGTGAAGAAGAATGACCGGCCACCGAGCCCGCCAGAGACGGAGATGTCTGAGGAAAAGAGGCGGAGTCGAACATCAACGCCGCGGACGAGAGAAAGCGATGACCGGGCTGCAGACAGGCCGGATTCTAGGACAAGCGGTATGTCAAGGTCGAGTTCGCGGCGCGACGACAAGTCCAAGCTATCAACCAAGTCCAAGACGTCAAGCCAGGCCACATACATCAAGTCTACAGGCAGACCGCCTCCTGGTGTCCAAGTGGTGGATGATGACGATTCGATCGTGAGTGATGACAAGACGGCCGGCGCCCGCTCTGCTGCCACTTCTATTCTACCCAAACGAATGGATTCGAAAAGATCGAGACGATCTGATTCGCTGGACGACGACTCGCCCGATTCGGTACAGGACTCGTCGCCAAAGACTCCTACTGTAACAGCGCAATTCCCCCCTCCGCCGCCCATGTTCTCGAATGAGAAGCAACCATCACCCTTGGTCTTTGTTGCAGATGATCGGCCTGCAGATCGCCCTACACCTTCAGCAACTCCCATGAGTGATTTTGGACCCCCACCGCCGCCGCCTCCGCCTCCGCCGCCATTGAACATTCAAGAGGTGCCTAGGATTGATTACCTCTTGCAGAATGGTGGTTTAATGCAACCCATACCCAAGAACTTCCTTGCCGCCATACCGAGACCGAATGGCACGAGGCCGTCGAATCCACCATTGGCTGGTTCCGATGTGCTATTTGCGCCTTTCTTTGACTTACTAAATAAGTACCAAACTGTCATCCACAAGCAGGGTTCCGTTGCAGTGGCCACTGGTCATCGTTCGGTCGCCCGACGTCTGCTTGATAGGTTAGAAGATGTCTTCTCGAGAGATCTACCCGAAGAGGGATGTAATTGTGTCATGTGTGAGAGAACACCCGATGAACATCACGGTCTCGGTTGGGGAGAGGTATTGGAAAGGGTTGGAGGGCGGGTGGAAATGCCCAGCTGGCCACCATTCGACCTGGCAAACTTGAGCGCAGCGGCAGCGGAACGTCTGAGCGACTTGCCGCCCCGACCATCGTCGCCTGTCAAACTGGATCCTGATATTGCCGAGGAATTTAGAGACCATTATCTTCGACAGTCCAAGAAAGTCAGATCTGCAGTGGACAAGTGGATGAACACTTGTGCTGAGGCGCCTGCGCCGCCACCGTCAGATGTAGATGACGAGACGCTCACCTTTGCGATCCTGACCAGCCTCGAGACCGAGGAGCGACCATACTTTAATGCACTACTCGCGGGTTCCCGAGAACTCAAGCCAGATGTAAGAGCGCCCACACCCAACGTGCGGAAACCGCGTGCAGAGTTCGTGGTACAAATGGGCTTGTCGCTCCAACGACTGTACCGCCTATCTCAGCCTCCTCGTGATGCAGAGACAGCCATGTATCTTGTCAAGAACCCTTTCCACCACGATGTTCTCGTTACCATTGTCGACATTAGCCCACAAGAATGGGAGATATTGACTTCCGGCCGCTTCGACGGCTTTCTTTGGTCTGGTGCCGACGATGATGGTATTACGCCAACCGCCGAGTATCCTCGTGGCGCAACTCCCGCATCTGGTTTTTTCTCCCCTCCAGCGTCACGCCCAGGAACGGGCATGTCGCGTCATGCGGGTGGTGGAGCATCAAGAAACACAACTCCCTTTTCAGGTGTATACAGTCGTGGCGCAACACCAGCCTCTTTCATCTCTCTTAACTCGACAGCGACACAAGGTCAGAGCCGGCAAGCCGTATCGCACGACGAAGAGTTGGAAATAGCCGTTCTCAACGAAGTCGAGCGGGAAATCTATCAGGGTATGGAAGCACTGGAGGACGCCTTTGAGAAGCTGCACCACCAAGCCGAAATGGTTCGCAATGCGCTACGAGAACGAAATGCTGGGCTTATGATGCGTATGCAGCAACGACGAGCTGGTCGAATCGACGTTTTGCCACAAAGCGGCGACAGCATGAATGGATATGAGCGACCATACTGGGCTGCCGGCGAAGACGAGACTAGCGAGAGCGATTGGGGTGGTGATGATTTGGACAGCTTGGCACCAGACGACTCGGCCAGCAACATAAGCAGCAGCAGGCATCGCAGGCCGAAGCGGAGAACTGAACGCAGGACGCCCGCGCCTATCGAGGAAGATGATGAGGAGAATTAGTGTTGTTTCACGAGCTATATAACGAAGATTACGTAGAGTGCGTTTCACGAGCATAACGGCAGCCTGTGCGATTGCTCTGGGGTTCTGGGTTTGGGGAATGGTCGAACGAGATACATGAAAGCGAAATATGCCGAGTCATCGAATGGGCCGGTGAACAGCACTCAACATGACAGTCGAGACTGAAATGTACCCCATGATACGATCGCAATCGGGGGAGTGGAAAAAAACACGCTACACCGAGGCATGGAAATAATTGATTTCTCTTGAGCATTCTCTTTCTTTTTTTTTTCATTTTGCATTGGATCGGAGTTGGATGGGTACTCTTCAGCCGCCATCATGGGTTTCTCGTTTAGTTCAACTGTCAGTTTCGGCCCTTGTAGACGAGGTCGCCGAATATCATGATAATGCGAGTTGATATAATGGCTTTGACCGTGGTCTGCCATGTAAATGAAAGAATATACCATTACACGCTTCAGCTTGAAAAGAAGTGCATAAAGTGATGTCTAGGGTCGTCTTTTCGTTTTCGGTCCTTGCCAGCCATCTTGGCTTTGCTTGAACTTGTTTTGTTCATGAGTGCCAATGGTCATCCGAGTTTACAACAGTGACCCGATTGCATTTGTGCGAATGACCTACTAAGAAGACCAATTTTGATGTCTACTAACTACTATTGCATACATACACAAATAGAGGTGGTCAACGTGACGTTAGCTGTGCTCTCATGGCGTTCTAAATTTACAAGGACCAGCAAAGTCAAGTTACAGATGCCAAAAGTGACCTCAAAAGTCCAAAGTTCAAAGCTCGAAATTTGCAAAAAGAAAGGGGTCTCGCAGAAGAAGAAATGGAATTGCATTTTTACGACTGATAAGAAATCACATGCAACATGCATTTCATTCGTTGCGAATGGCTTTGTGGCGGAGTCCACCTGCCAGCCAGCTGCCGGCTGCATGAGAGGGTTGGAAAAAATACGACCACGACCCATCCATACATGGAGTCAGTATATCAAAGTAATGATGATTATTTTGCGTGTCCCATAGCAAACACATGATTCATACATGCCACAAGATATTGGGTCAAGAAATGGACAGACATGGATATATTCATTATACATCAAAATTGTCTTCTGAATGTATCAAGCAAAGAATCCGGCCGACGCCAATACGAAGAAGAAACAAAAAAGGCAAAAGAAAGGGTCTTGCCGTGGATCGAACACGGGGCCTCGCGCAAACAATGTTTAGGGTTTTCCCTAAGCGCGAATCATACCACTAGACCACAAGACCTGTTGATTTGTTGTTAAAGAAGAGTGTGGTTATGTGAATTCTTGAATTTTCATTTTGTGTGGTTGTGGTGGTGGATACGGGTGTTGCGTAATACTTTTTCTAATTAGAGGCGGAGGCCCGGGAGTGGGAATCGCGGATGGGGGGGTTTTTCGGGGGTGGGGTCCGTATTGAGTCAAGGAATCCGGCTCGGTACGAAGGAGTAAAAGAAGGAAGGGGAAAAAAAAAGACAAAAAACAGTACGGCGCACGGGTGTTTTTGATGCAAAGATGGGTAGGTCGGTGCCATGGACGGGGGTGCTGTGGTTTAAAAGGAAGAAATGACACGTGGAGTAGAATTGGTCTAGACTGATTGGATGTTGGGCATTGAGAAACGAGGGGAAAGCTATACGACTGGCGAAGGTCGGGGCTCACCCATAGACACTAGGTAGAGTGCGATCATCATTCCAACATTATTAAAGAGTATTCTAGTTTCTTCACGATCGAGTCAATTCCAGGGGCAGGCGATGATCTTGGACAATGCAAGTAACAGCTACTGGGGAGTTCCTAAAACCCAAATTGGAACATCATTGCATGTTGGCTTGTTGGCATGTTGGCATGTTCATCACTTCACCCAATAATTGAATGTATAAATCAAGTTCAAGTCATTTCAAGTCTATTCTCGCGCATCATTCGATACGCCATTTGGCTTCCTAGGTATATATCGGTCGAAAGTAGCAAAACGCCACTCCTATCGCAGAAAAGGCCAAAGCCCCTCTAAGCCATATCGTGCCATGTAGAAATTTGAAAAAGAATCCTCCTCTCCGGTATCATAAGGGTATCATCATGCCAGTAATCTCCAATCTATATCATGCCGCCCACACTCCTATACAACATCTTCTAATTAAGTTGTTGGTTTTTCTTTTTGAGTTTTGGATTTGTTTAGTGGCCAGCCTTTTCGTTGGTGCTGTCCGGGCCAGCCTCGAGGACACCACCGGCGCCAGGGCTGCTGCTCTCATCGTCCTTGTCGCTGGGAGCATTGTGCACGCTGCCGCCGCCGACAGTCTTGAGACCACCACCGTGCGCGGCCGTCTCAATCAGTCCGTACTTGATGGCCTCGCGCTCGACCTCCTCCTGGTTCAGGAAGGGCAGCTCCTTGGCGGCCTTGACGTAGGAAATGTTCTCGACAAAGCCCTTGGCAAAGATGATGTCAATCTCCTCCAGAGAGCGGCCGGCGGTCTCGGGGTAGAAGAAGTAGATGACGGGCAAGAAGCAGGCGTTGATGGCGGCAAAGAACAGATAAGTACCCCAGCCAATGTTGGTAATCATAATGGGGGTCACCATAACAATGAGAAAGTTGAAGAGCCAGTTGGTGCAGGTAGACACGGCGTTGGCCTTGGCACGGGTCTTGATGGGGTTGACCTCGGCAGGGTACAGCCAGGGCAGGGGCAGCCAGGTGGCGCCGAAAGAGGCAATGTAGGTGAACAGACCGACGGCGGCACCCTTGGCCGAGTTGGATGTACCAGAGATCAGGCAGGAAAAGGTAATGACCATGGAAAGACATTGGCCGATGGTACCGTAGAGGAAGAGCTTTCGTCGACCAACTCGCTCAATCAGGAACCAAGAGGCCGTGGCAAAGATGGAGTACACAATCATGTTGACGCCACCCATCAGCAAAGCCATGTTGTGGTCGCCAGGAGTAATGGAGTTCTCAAACAGGATAGGGAAGTAGTAGATAACTGTTGACTTGTTAGTTGTGCGTGAGCTATACCAAAATGTTGTACGACTACTGACCTGCATTGCAACCACCAATCTGCTGCATAAGTTGAGAACTGGCACCGAGCATCATACGACGGAAGTGCTGAGTCTTGCCGTTGGTGAACAGGGCGCTGTAGGGTGTGCTCTTGGCACCAGCAACACCAGAAGCGCGGATCGAGTCGAGAATGATATCACGCTCCCATGCAGTCTCCTGGCTGTCCTGCTCGTAGCCACGGAGGGCAGCAATGACCTTCTCGGCGTCCTCGTAGCGCTCGTGGGTCAGAAGCCATCTAGGCGACTCGGGGAGGAAGAACATGGTCATGACAATGAGACCAAAGACGATCTGGAAGGCAATGGGGAATCGCCACGACAGGTCGGCGTTGCCAAACGAGGCACCGTAGTCGATCCAGTACGCAATCAGAGTACCAAAGGCAATGACACCACCTTCGATGCAAATGAGCAGACCTCTGTTGGTCGTCTTACTACATTCGGCCTGGTATGTCGGGATTGTTGCAGTGTTGATTCCGTTGCCCACACCAGTAACGACTCGGCCGACAATGAATTGCGCCAGAGGAGTTGCGCCAGCTTCCGAAGTGACTTGGATAATGACACCGAGAATCATGATAATGGCACCCAGGATGATACCCTTTCGTCGACCGAGCAGATCACCGCAGCTCAACATGAACATGGCGCCGAACAGACAACCAATCTCGTAGATGGCAGTGACAGTACCTTGCATGGTCGAGTTGTCTCGGGTAGCTTCGAACAGGTCGTTGAAGGGCTTGGCACTAATGATACCACTCATGACACTATAGACGGCATATGATTAGCTGGGATGTGGTGGGGGGAGGACGAGGCGAATGGAACCAACCCTTGATCGTATCCGAAGAGCAAGAAACCAGTAGTGGCGACAGTAGACACAGCCAGCGAGAGTGGCCGGCCACTGAGGCCCATGAACTTGGGGGGTGCCATCTTGGACAGCGGCAAGATGGCTCTGTAGTAAAGGGTATTACTAGTAGTTGAGCACTGCTTTTCCCTCTCGTGTCTCGGTGTGTTGTTCTAGCCAACTCTGAGATGTGACGACAGACGATAATACCAGTTACACAAAAGCAGCCCGTGCTTCCAGACTGTCAACCCTCTATGCAAGGAGAAGGGAGGGGAGAAGAAAGATGAATGGACCAAAGTTCATGTGTCACGACGTGGAGAGGATCGTCGAGGGTTCATATAGAAAATCACCCTCTCGTGGTCGCTGACAAAGGACAAACCACTGTAACGGCAAAACGCCGTCTCTTTTGCCATTTCCCCAAACCCCAGGTCAAGCTAGTAGTAGGTAGTCTTGCTTCCCCAATGTGCAGCAGAATACGCAACGGTAGCATGCATATCCCTTCTCTATGCTTCGCGAGTCATCCTGGCGAGTCCTACTGGATATGCGAATAGGCCACCCCGATTATGGAGCACCTCCGAGTAATAGTCATACCAACACCAGGGATTACGGCGGGTCGGGCGCTGATCACAAAGAGCGCAAAGTCCTCTCATTCGACAGGCGCTTTGAATCGATTGCAGGACAATGGTAACCTCGGGCTAGCTTAGCTTAGCTGCAGCATGTGCTGCATCGTGGAGTGGTGAGATTTTGATTTGGAGCCCGTACATGAAATGAGCACGTACATCGGTAGGCATCTGGCATGTAACCACAGGCAGGCAATTATTACACATGACACTAGGCCTGCTAGGTAAGGGTAGAGCGCAAGCATGCAAGCAAGCAAGCATAGGTACTTACCGTACTTGGAATTGAGAGAAGGGGATACAAAAATTTAAAAGATAAAAATGAGTATTCACGAGGGCAATGACCTCATAGCCTCGGACGTACCCCTGGTGTTTTCCGCTCGCCAAGGGCTATTTCTCCACGGCAGTTGCAGCACTCCCTGGGCGGGACAGGCGGGTTGGCGGGATGGGTGGCCTGGGGGGGGGGGGGGGGGGGGCGCACATAACTTTGGCATGTTTTGGGCACGTTATGGCAAACACTCACCATGAGCTATTCCGAAGCGAGTTTGGGCACATCCTTTTACCCCGGGTAGCCGTAGGCATTGGCATCGACATCGGGTCTAGGGTGGCATGTCACAAAAGCACGCCAAGGACAAGACGGTGTGTTACCCGAGGCAGCAAGTGGACGCTGGCCAGCCTAACAAAGCACTGCACAGCTACCAGCGGCAGCGGTACATTTTCTTTTACTAACAGGCTACTCCTACCTTAACAGGCCCGGCAAGCAGTGAAACATTGCTACCACTACTACTACTACTACTACCAACCACCATTACCTATTATGGAGCAGGTGGCATGATCCGAGTATTTCTCTTGCGAAGGAGCGCCCAGGAACCACTATCGGCGACACTATCCCTTCTGGGAATTCCGTTGCTAATCCCATCGAGAGCCTCACAAGCCCATTCGACGCAAGACAAGGAAGGGCACAAGATGCTTTCCTGGCAAATGCGCAAAGAGCCCCGCTTGGATGAGAAAAGCGCATGCCAAAAACTTGAAGTTGCAGCGAGTATGACACCGGTGGCTTTCTGATTTTTCTCAAGCCTTGCTCGAGCAATCAGAGACCGTCCATGTGAAGCATCTATATTGGCGGGCCTTGGCGACGGCACATCGGTGACGGTCCGGTCGTCCTCTGGTGTCTTGGAAAGCTTAAAAAACCTTCCCTCTCATGTTCCTTCGGTGGATCCGTCATTGTATCATATCTAGACGAACGACGGACGAAAGGCGTTAAGTTTGCGCAGATTTGAGCTACGACAGCTTAAAAAAAAAAAAAAGATTACTGCCTCTTTTCCCTCTCTCTAATTCCGCTCTGTTTTTGCCCCCTCCCCCTTTCGCCGCTTTCTCTGAAATGGCTTGAATGGGTGTTGGATGGTGGTCAAACTGTCCACGCAAACTAACACGAGTCTTTAATGGGATGATCGTCATTGACCCAAGGGCCAAGTCACATCCCCCACGATACCAACAGCTGCGACCACAAAACCATTGTCCCTGAGCAATCCCTAGATGCATTAGAATCATGCGGGGAGTGGAGGGCGAAGGTTATCGCACTGGGTCCTTTTTTGAGGGTCTTCAGCCTGCTCTCAGCCTGTCAGCCTTCGCGATTGAGCGTCGTCGGGGCTGTCTCGGTCTTACTCACCCCGTGGTCCCAGATTTCTTGGTTTTTTGGATTGAGCATACGCCAAAAGGTGGATTATAACAGTGGAACGCTTGATAAATTCGAGGGCCAAAAAGCATGGTTTGCTCCTCCTTCCCCAGGCCCAGGGCGCTTGGAGAATAAATGGACCTGCTCCTAAAAGACCTGGAGGCCTGGAGGAATGGAGGAGAGACCCTCCATCTCCAGGTGAGAGGATTCCAAGACCCATTAAAACGAGATCAGGTCACCTACCTACTTGCCTACCCTACCCTATTGTTAGTTCGTATGTTGGTGCAACCTGACCGAATACTACTATCTTTGGTCCCTATCGCACCGACCAACATCTTATTCGTCTGGAAACGGTGAAAAATGCACATCAATTCTACTTTTGAAATGGCCACATGCTTGCCCATTTATGACCATTTTGCTATCACCGCATTGGTGTGCCGTCGCGTCGGGCCCCGACGCCGCGGCGATGGAATTGCGTCCCTGATGTATGGAGCAATCCTACCACGGCGCGCCGGAATTGGTTTTCTGTTGCGGGCCGCCGATCAATTCCCCATTCTAGTAATCCCGGATGTCTTATTTGAAATATTCCTCCGGTGAATTGAATCAACTGAACACGCGTAAACAAGAAACGTTTTGTGCCGCTTACCCGGCCATTTCCGATAGGGCTGTATGTGTATCTCACTGGTGAAATGGTTCACTTGGCGCGGTCCGTCCGTATAGGGAGGGAAAGGGAGGACGTGCTGATGGTGGTGACCGCCGGACGGACGGTGAAGGAAACCGTGCATCGTATCCCTGGAGGCCGTTCCGGTCAAGGTGGATTCGGGAACTTTTCTTTTTCTTCTTTGCACTCGCTCAGCAACACTCCCAGGGATCCATCCTACCGGGCAATAGTGTTTTCCCATCCTTGCCATCTTTTCTGGCACGGTCAGCCAAGTCGGCTCAGTCATTACCCGCGGGCGCCCACATGTGAGTGGGTAGGTACGAGAACACGGATGTTGCTTGCGGCATCTTTAGAGGACTGTATCTTTTTCCAGGTGAGATGGTGTGCCAAAGAAAGCATTTGACAACAAGACGTCTGAAAACATGGGAAGCCCGGTTGGACTCACAAAACGTAGCTTGAACACTTGGTCCATCGGCGCAACATGGTCGAAGCTACAGGCTGAGCCGTGTTGGTATAGTCCAAATCACTTGAAGACGGAAAAGAAACGCAATAGGTCCTAATGCATGTCAGAGTTATTTCGGTACCGAAGCAGGACGACAGCTTAATGACCAGACCTGAATGCGGCCCAGCACTTCAAGAAATCCACTCATCCTCCCATATAAGGAAGGACGGCGCAACATCGTCATACTGTCAAATATACACCATGTCTTATCATCCTCCCAAACAGAAGCATGTCTCGGAAAACGTGCTTTGGCTCTCAACATCAGCATCCTATGCCTGTAAGCTAATCTTCCTTTCGTGAAGGTTGGAATTACCGAGCAGTCAACCTTGGACAAATCGACCAAACTCCGAAAAATCCCGCCATATTCGGTTATGATAGTCATCCTACTAGTATTTCATACTCCTTACACTACCTTGATTACATCCTGCGTATATCCACTTCGCTTGCACTCTTCCTCCGGTCTACACTAACTAGCACGTGGATCTACGTCCATGCAAAGCTTGCAGTAGCGTTCGCATGGCCAAGTTGCGTTGTTTGGCGGCGTCAAGACGCGCCCATCAACATATACTACTGCGCAATTTGCAGACTTTTGAAATCTTTTTTAGACGTCGGGTATCGCAGCCGCGAGAAGCGACATTCTTTTTGCGCCAATTCAGGGTTTCAGACGATCATGATAAGTAATCACGCGATATTTGACTTGGGCATTCATGGAACCACTTCTCTTGAAAGCTCAGTAAGTAGGTTGTAGCCAACAGTCGTCGTGTGTACATTACAAAGGAGTAAATTGTTGCGTGCGGCTGCCAAGCGCTTGCCTTTTTGGTGAAAGATGCGACTTTTTCTTCTCTTGCGCACTTATGAATCTGCCCCGCCGATCAATATCCAAATAAAAACCAAGAAATGCCAATGCTGAACAAGCTAGAAAAGTCCGTGAAGAAGCGCCTTGGCTAAGGTGTGGCCTAAGGCATCTGCGGGAACGGGAGGCGTTCCTGGGCGTGGTCGTGGCGTCCCTTGCTGGAGGGAGGGGGGGGAGGGGAACTTTGGGGCTCCCTCCCTCTCCTTGGGCAAGGCGATCGACGAGTCAGGAAAAAAGCCACGATAGGCCCATACGCCATGTATCACCATTATAAGATAGTAGCTCCGATGGATCATCCTGGATTTTGTCGATAATTGGATAGATAAAACAGCCCGCATGATCAACTCCTCTCTTGGAACGCGCTCGGCAGGCATTTATACTGAATCATGATAGCACGATACTAGTAGACGAATACAATGAGGGATAAAACAGCAACTCGGACCACTGATACCCGAACCAGATTGACATGGTGTCGGTGTCAAATGAGTATTGTCCTGCTCTCTTGATTCCAGGTGCATCGTATATTTCAAATTTTTTCTAGTCTTGGGATGGCGCAAAACTACCATTTATCCTCGATTCGCAACGACTGTCGTGTCATGAAGCTTTCTTGTCGAAAAAGACAAGCTGTCCGCGGTGCCTTGGCATAGCTTCCAAGAAGTCATGAAGAGGGGGGTTTTTCGACAACAAGAAGCCAAGATCTCCTTGGCACAACAACTGCCGTTTCCCCCATGATCTATGGCAAATGACTAGGTAGGTAGCATCTTTGGCCAGAAAAAGCAACTCAAGCTCCGCCCTCCCTCTTTGCGTACTCGTCTTCCATGGCCTCCTCGTACAGGCGGTCGGCCTCCTTCTCCGCCTCGGTCTTTTCCCGCGTCGTGCCCGCCCCCGTGTTCACGCCGGCGCCTGTCGGCTGGTCGGCCCCGCGCCCTGCTGCCTCTTCCGATGTCTGCGCTCCAGCGGCGGCGGCGGCCGGGCGCATATTCCTCGGTCCAAGTGCCTGAGGTTCTTGCGGGTTTGAAGAGGAAGGGATGGGCATTGTGGGTGAGTGGTGGTGGCTTTAATGCTTTGAAGTGCTTGTTGTTTCGGGCAGCTTTGATGAACTATGAAAGATGATTTGGCGAGTGCCCAAGATGCATCTACCTAATAAAATCTCTCAGCTGGCGCCAGGTCCGGCCAGCTGATGCCATTCTTCCCAAATCACAAAGTTACTACTATGGTGACACAGCATATCCAGAAGGTCATTCTTGCAGACAGAGGCGCTATAGCAACCATTTTATTGGTGTTCGCTGCTTTCAATTGCCTGTATGATGACTTGGTCGCGGAGGATACCTGCGAAGATCGAAAATCATGAGGCTGAGAGGAGGTAGGCAAATTGCGAGGGACTGTGAGCTCACTCACGCAAGCTCAAGGTCATTGCAACAGTCGCTACGTTTACCTCTTCTCGTGTTTTCTCAATCAATACATGCGCCCTGTACCCAAGCCTCCCCTCCATCAGTTCGCAAGTCGTGATGCAACAAGACCATTCTTGTCTAAGCACTACACATTTACCGTGATTTACAGTCCCACTTGTATCGAGTTGTGCATCACGGGGCGATGGCGAGTGAGCTGGATAATTTGGCCTCAGCGCAGACGCCTGCCGACATCGTGATCGAACCACAGATTGAACTTACTCCTCCACCCCCGATTGGCCCACAAGACTCGAGTTTGAATGATCTAGAAAGAGGCTCGGTCGATCTTCCGGTGCCCATTCCGAGAAGAACCTCTTTTCGTTCCCCCTTTCAATTCAAACCGAGATTCTCACCGTTCAAACGCGAGACGTACCCTCAGACTAAGAAAGAGCTCTGGCATGCGATCATCTCATATGTGTCGATGAAATCATTCAATACGGGGCCTCATCCCGGTACAATTGCAGAGAGGTTCAATTCTATTCCCATTAAACCTGTATCTGCTCGTACCCATGCAGGTCACATCCCTGGCGACAAGAGTGTCACATCTAACGAAGCCATCAAGGCTTTGTCATCGACTCGATCCCTATACATACCCAACGGCCACCAAAGGCTGTCGAGCGGTGTACTCGGACACAGGGACTATACCAACTTCCGGTCTCAATATCTTCGGGCTCATACACCAATCCGATTTCTTCCACGTGGTATTATCTCGTTCAACTATTGGATACCGGACATCGCCGTCATAGATGACGAGTTTGGAAAGCCAGTCGAGAGTCGTTCGTTGGAGGCATGTCCCTGTGGCCGTGATTCAATTGATACCGCTGTATTCGCCAGGGTCTTCGTCCCTCAAGGTGATATTCGAATATTACCCGCATTACCTGCATCGTCGAGGGCAATAAACTGGCCGCTTGAGTACTATGTCACATCACTTCTCCGGGGAGGCAAAGGATTGAGTGATCCAAGTGCGGCAGCGACTTACTTGACCGCTTTGGAGAGGGCGATAAATTGGTTTGATCGCTCGAATGGAGTAACAGAGGCTGCCGAATTCCAGAACAACATGGCTTTATTCTACGAGGGTTACCATGCTACCTCTCACACAAGCCTCTTGCAGTTGCTGAATTCGACTGACATCGAAGAGTTCGGGGAACTCCTACCTGCTCTACGTTTACCGATGCGTTTTGCAAAAATGATCGAGTTTCTTTGTGACAAATACCCAGACCTCTTCGCGTCTGCACCTACCGTGGCAATGTCCCTCATCAATCAAGGCTTGGAAGGTCTGTCGAAAAGGGACTCTGTCAGCTTCGCAGAAGATATCAAAGTCGCCATCACCAAAAAGCAATGCACAACGGGTATTTTCTCAAAGGTCTATGCGCTGTCGGCCCACAACTCTACCATAGGACGGCTCTGCCGTGCGTTGCAATACAGTTCACTCATTGTAGGTTTCACCCATACTGAGGCTGTGCCGCTTCACCATCATGATACGATATATCCGTCGGGCTTCACCGGGTTTCTCACGGACACGGACCTCTTTGAGAAACTACAGCACCAAGATCCAATGACTGTTGCTCTATTCACATTACAACACCTCCGTAGTGTGGGACTTCTAGCGGTCAGGTTGGGATACAAATTTCCTTCTAGAGAACTTGTGGAAAGCCGGCTCGATGCTCATTCTCTCGATGCTCATTCTGTGAGTCGAATTAGAGTTGACAGATGGCGACAAGTAATGATGACAGAACAACAAAAAAAGGAGACAAGACAACAACAAAAGAGGACAGAACGACAAATGAGAATGGACATCTTACTGCAAACCCTTTTATGCAATCAAATTGCATCTCTTGCCCAAAGTGCAGCGTTCACCGACGAGGGTATCTCGACGACTTCCAGACAATTTCTCTGGATAGGCACGGTTGCATACGTTCGGGCAAAGCTGGCTGTCGCACTCATCATCATCGCTGCTTCGATTCCCCTCGCCTTGTATTTCTGGCTGTCTATCGCCTACGCCGCTGTTGACACGTTTAGCAACTATGCGAGCCTTGCACTACTACTGACGGGGGCGATACTGGGCGTGGGGCCGTCAGTTTACCGGAAAGATTGGGCTTACCACGACTTCATCAGATTCAGGATGCCGGCTAGGAATTTATCAGAACTTGGTAAACGAGGTGCTGAGTACTTTTTCAAAAGACAGAGTGAAGGAACGCCCATAAGTGGAAGATACGCCAGCCCGTACCCGACTGAAAGTTCAGAAGGCACAGGACTTGTAGCTGATGTTCCCACGCAATTGTCCTCTATGCACGACTTGGGACCCCCCGAGCTTGGTGCAACGAACCTTGGCGCGTATATAATATGGTGGCCCCGGACTCGCGAAGCAGGCTCAGATGGAACTGTCATCTTTGCTCGGTATACACCTGGGGTAGTCTCGCAGATGATTAGGGGCAAGTTGCCGGATATTAATGAGGTCTCTTCAGTCGCCCACAAGGCCGCGAGCAATTTTCAACACGACATATACTTTGGATGATTACCACATAGTATAATTGAACGTCGTGCCTGTTGGCACAGATATGGCCTCATGTATGTTTGAGCTCGGCCTGTCGCCACTTCAGCAATCAATAGTACCATCCGCCGCGAGACTCTTCACATAACTCGAGTCTGAGGGGTCAAAAATACAGGGTCAACGCCCACCTGTATAATGGATAAGCGGTAGTCCCTTATGAGCTTCAAGATGCTGACAACAAGTACGGCACGTGTTTAGTAATAAGGCCAGAAATTCACTATCAAATCTAGCAATGGGGTTTGGATATTTTATGATCATTGCCACGCTTGCCTCTGTTTGGGGTTTCCAGGTTTCAATAGTACATATTGCAATAAAAAGCACCAACACTTTGCACCAACAAGTCAAAGTTGAGGTGTGCTTTAGATTTACACATGGAAAGATGTAACCTCCGACGATGCTTACAAAAGTCACACATTACAATCGTTCTCAACTTCCAAATATTTTCCCCCCCTTCTTTTTGCTCTTATTGTGCATCAGTTCTCGGAGGCTCCTAGGTATATGTCATCTTTCTCTTGACTGCATAACTTCTCAACCTCGCTTATAAATACTCCTCTTTGTTTATCAACCTCACCACCTCAGCATCAGTTGAAGTCATCGACACCACCTAAAATAAGTGACCGAATTATTGTGATGGACTCATTGCATTACGATCTCTTCGGCCCAGAAAATCCGCACAGTCCTGACGAGACCTACGAAAATCCCCGGTCGTGGTATGAAGGGTGGGAAATTGCTTGCCAAGAATGCAGTATATAGCAGCGAAAGAAGCTCAGCTGTTGTGGCCGCTTATTAGTACTTCAGAGGGATAGCCAGTGTAATTGTTTGACAGCTCGTGGCCTGGAAAACACAGCACCAAGACAACAACGATGACACCCGAAAGAAAGGACCCCAAAATTCAAGGTCTGCGAAATCAATATTACCGCTGTCAACAACTATTAGACAATATTCGGAGCTTGACTTACCTGGACAGTCGATCGAGACAACTTGAGAACGCAGGTGCTATAACAGATGCCAGACCAGTCAAGTCAAACTGACAGATGTGAATCTCCCACTTTCCCGAGGTTGGTGTGATGGCTAGATGTGACAGGAAATGAGGAAGAACATCTTTGATCGAGTGGACTGCTCACCGATTGAGAACGACGGAGAGGCCTGGAAGACATGGAAAGTCTCAACCAAAATGGATATGGGTTATGACATCGTGCTTTAGACATCACGACTGTTGTCCAGGATGCCTAAGCGGCTGTCCGAAAGACTGCCAGTACCGTACCGTCTGAAATGATACTAGAGAGAAGGGCGGACTTAGGTCCTCAGAGATCAAGACCGAAGAGCGGCGACCAAAGATCATGGGAGATTGTTCGCACTGGAATTCTATACAAGATGGAGTGCGACAAAGACCTTCCAAGCTCAAATACCACAAAATTTGATATTTGTGTCATGAAATTGTTGTCTTATGGCCCGGGGCCGTGTCTTCAGCAACCTTATCTACCAGACGGAATTCCTGGGAACAGGATCTGGGCAATACTATGCACGAGCACCTCATGGAGTTACAGACGGGGACCAGTTAACCCGGATACGATATAGAGTCCCAAGAAAGCGCTGAGTTGAGTGGATCAAGTCAGACATGTATTGATGCTGAAGCAGGGAAGTAAATTGGATTATCCCAAGGTAACAAGGGAGGGACGATACCAACATGAATGAATCGTTACGAGCGATATACTGGGCAGTATATGTGCATCGGCAGTGAAATTGAAATCTTAGATAAGGTAAGCAATGCGGGACTGCCGTATTCGGCTCGGGTTCGGCTCGGTCGTCACACTGATGAGCATCTCGCGGAAAGTCATGGCGTCATGAAGGTATTCTAAGACGACGTGCATGCACATGGACTAGTCACTATAGTAGCAATACGTTTCAACGTGCAAGAGGTAGGGCCACAAGAGCGCGTTGCTATTCTGCCGGCGTTGATTGGTCTGCTGCAGAGTCTGAACGTGGGCACGCTTTGGGAGAAGCTCCAATGTTACGAGGAGGCCCTTATCGACATGCTTATAGGTATTGCCCTAAACACGCCAGAGATCTGACCTTGCAGGTTGCAATGCATATCGACTCGGAGCCTAGAAGAACGGTTGCATGCAGGGTTCAGTTTAGTCCCTAGTGGACTGGCTTGGCTGGGCTGGTTCAATTTCAAGGGTTTTAGGCCACCCCTGCCAGTGGGCCTGGCCTGCTAGACAAGCCTCAGCCTAGGTGCATTAGGTCGCTACGTTAGGTACCACCTAATCTTGATACAATACCAGCCAGCACTCACCTACATTGAGGACTAAATACATTCGGTACACCCTAACGTTTAGCTTCCGCGATCAACGTTTCCTCTTCCCCATCAATCCACTACTCTAATTCAGGGCTGTCACTAACCATGGCCGCGCTGCCGCCCTCGTCGCCCCATCGCGAAGTTGAACAACAACAACAGCAACCACCACCACAGGCCGACCCCGATAGTGACGCGCCCTCAGTCACCCGTGCAACTGGTGGAAGACGGAAGCGAGCTCGATCAAATAATGAGGACAAAGACACACCGGCCTGTGATCAGTGCAGACTACGCAAAATCCGGTGTGATCGGCGGCAACCAGAATGCTCAAACTGCCGCAAGTCGGGCGTAGAATGCAGCTCATCCAGCACTCTCAAGAGAATCAACCACACAAAGCTACTGTACGTCAGTCGTCGCTCATGTGCCCGGTGGATGGCCGTTGATTGTGTCTAATTGATCTCCAGGCGCGATGACTTCTCTTTTGTGTTGCAGCGTTTAGATCAAGTGGATCAGACACTGGCTACTCTGACTGAATTTACCCGCCAGCTCGCCGCGCGGCCTTGTTCTCATGTCGCGAATGTCGCCCAGCCCCATGATTTAGTGCCGCTTCCGAGCCCCGAACCGATCAATGTGGATCAGCCCGATACTCCGGTGTCTGTCGGTCCTTTGGCTTCGAAAGAGCCCGCATTTGAGACGGTTGAGTTGGACGACGGTGGCGAGCGGGTTTATGGGTACCCGGCACCTCTGGTCTTGATCAAGTCTTTGCTACGACAGACAGGCAGTCCTCTTGTTGAGTCCGATGAGCATGGCGAGAATCACGGCAGTGGTCGGGAGTCATACATTGCCTACGCTCTTCAAGACCCTCGTGTCAGAGCCACACTACAGAAGAAGCTAGACGAATTCCCGTTCCAATCGCGACGTCCAGAGTCTACCGTCACAAGTGACCTGAACCCCATCACCACACCTCCACGCTTAATGGTGAATCTGTTCGTGGACGGGTATTTGAAGCACATCAACTCGCGAACGCCCATATTCGACGATTCCGAGCTGCATCGTGCCATAGAGGCCCACTATGGTGATGAACAGCCGCAAGAAGGTTCAGCAATGGCACTCATCATCAACAATATCGTTTTGCTCGAGTTTGGCATGGAATTACAAGCCGCTCGTGCCTCTCATTCAAACTCACGTGGGATGAACGATGACATACTTCCTTCGTTCCTCAAGAACTGTGATCGTGCCATTGCGAATCTTGATGCCTTCATGGAACCGAGCTTGGTTAATGTACAGGCACTCATGACATTGGTAAGTTTTTCTGGCCGTTCTTTATTTTGAAGTTAGAGACTAGTGTATGGATGCTGATAGTTGTAGACTCTCGCTGCCCGAGAATTCTATAGTCTTGTAATTGCTCAGAGAGTTTGCCACGCGGCTTGTCAGGCGGGCCGCGCACTCGGCCTGTATAGGTCTAAAGCCCGCCCGCGAGGAGAAGGCTACCAAGAATCTGAAGATTCAGACAGGATACGACGGCGCCTCTTCCAAGTTCTATACACAATGGACAAACAGCGTGTCTTTGTGACCGGTCTTCCATGCGATCTTCACATGTTCGACTCGGACCATAGTCCGTTCGACGACCCCTTGGGCCAGCTAATGACCATTTGGGAGGAGATTTACATGAATCTCTACACTTCCAGGGCGAGCAAGGCCAGTGTAGAAACGCGAGCCCGGCAAATGAGGCAACTTCACGGCTCCCTCAACAGGTTTTCCCAAAAGCACACAAGGCTATTATTCTCGCCTCCGAACACCACAAGCGACGTCGATCTGGCAAAGATCGAACTAGTGTACGCTTTCCAAGTATCGCAGATCCTTGTTCTTCGGTGCGAACGTGGCGATGAGAACAGCCAGGAGAAGCTGCGTGATCTCTCACGGGCAAGCCTAAAGTTGATTCTCGAGGTATCCAAATCACCTCTTGATCCATCAAGGTTGGCCTTGCTGTCGAACTTGATTGGTAGTTATCCAATGATTGCATTCTTTGAGCTTGTCTCCTTTCGTCTGGCCGAGTTATTCAAAAAAGGCGAACACGATGCAGCCGCCAAAGCAGACGTTTTACTACTCCGAGCGACATGTGACCACCTCGACATGCCGGAACATAACAAGAAGTTCTCTCACATATTCTATCACCGCATGAGACTCGGACTCGGGTGGGCTCTGGATGTCCTTCAGGTCTTGGGGGAAGCCCTCACAAGTCTGCCGGCTAGCAGGGATAGTCGCAATTCCACGTCGTCATCGGCATGCAATTCCAAGAATCCCCCGAGTCCTGTGGTGCCAGAATTGCTCAATGGATGTCCCCTCAGGTTGCCCAAGGTCTACCAAGGCCAGTCTGGTCTGTCCCCGTCCCACTCCAACGAGACGAGTTTCCCCACTGCTGGACTTGCAGAATTGGCAGGGTTTGGCTTTTTCACGCCCCCAGACACGGATCCTATGGATCTATCCTCCCGGCCACTGACAGCTGCATGTGAATTCCCTCCTCCAGTGTCATCGTCCTCCATGATACCAGACCAATCGGAGTTGACCTCTGATTTCTTAACGGGCAATACTGAATGGAATAATTTCAACATGGACTTCTTTCAGGGCGTTTTCGGACCAGGGACAAGGTGGGAATGATGTCCTGTGGAGACACACGTGTTCACGCAGACGAGGCTTCCGATTTTTGTAACCGACGACGAAACGCAAGATTTCAGCATACAACGGAGCAAAGGGCATTTATTCTTTTTGGGGCATTAATGGACATCCATTTGGTAGAACACGCGATCAGTGCCCCTTTCAAAATGAACGTTGGCATACAGAAGCAATTAGAAATAAAGCATCTACGTAACAAGCCAATTGTTGTCTTGCAGTTCAATCAACGTAGCAGGTGCGCAGGTGATTTCTGACGTGCTCCATTAACCAGGTTCTCATACGTTGTGCTCGGTGCGTCAAAGACTACATCACTTTTCGGAGTAGACCGCCCTTTCCAACCGACCACTTGCGACATTAGAGCCTACATGAAAATCATTCATGAAAGCCCACGAAACAGCATAGGCTCTGAATATGATCACGGCCTCAATCATGCCAGTATTTGTCAAGATTGATAGCCGATAGGCATGGCAATGAACTAGACTGGCCTAGACATCACACATTTCGCCGACTTGCTTACTTCGGAAACAAGGAATTTTGATAAGCTATTGCTGCAATATGATTCGTCTAATTGGTACTTTGTGGCTGACCCCCCCCTCCCCGGTCGCTCTGTAGAAGTCTTGCGTATCATACAAGTCTGAGGAAGGTTGGCAACGCAGCAGTCTTACATGCATTTTCATCCTTCAAGCATGCACCCATCGCACGATGACCACAAACAAATTAAGCACGGTGCTATCTGCTTTAGCGAGGCCGGAAGTGTGAGTTGAACAGACCTCTTTTTTTTCCTGCTGCGATACCACCACGACTCGCGGTGGGATTCAACGGCCCTGCATATTCCCACATTGTTAAAGACTCACATGGTCTGCTGTGTGCTGTGCTGTGCCGCATGGCGTGATGCTGACAAGCGACCCTTTGCTTACCAAGAACAGATTAGTCACTGACGTGCTTTGGCGCTGATTGTGAAACTCGCCCGAGAGGTATGGACGTGGAATATCAACAGAATTGCGTCTTCTCCTATATTGATCAGTATTAACCCAGTGGTGTCATTGGGATTTCGTGTGTCAATGGCGCTTGCTTGATAGATATAGATGGTGGTGGGGGTACCTCTGTTCGAGTATCGGAACTGGATAATGGAATCAACAAAGTTGGCGAAGATGGACTGAGATGTCCTGTCCGGCGGGCTTGGGTACTTTGCAGTTCTTGGATGCCTCCGGTTCCAAATGTGACGGGTCACATTTGGCTACAAGTGCCTGTTTCTGCTTGGCGGTAATTCTCACTCATCTACGGGACGATCCGTTACTTGCCGTGGACTGTGCACCCCTCCCCCGGTATGATAACCGCTTCTATGATACGTGGTCTGACTGTTGAACGCGCCCTACCATACATGTAACAGGAAATATAGTCGTGATATAGGTATAGGCTCACAACAACAACAACAACAAGATGGGGGCATTCAAACCTTAAAACTTTGTGTGTGCACCTTAGCGGCTGCTGGGAGCGAATGAACCTTGGCTTGACAGCTCGCATAATCTTCAGTGCGTTTCTGTATCGGGGGGATTTCGAATCGGGGCTGTTTTCCCAAAACGTCTTGGAATTTCTCAGCTTAACTCCGATTGTCCTCCTGCGGAAATCGAGGGATTGGACGACGGCAGACGAACCGATGGCGGTCCGACCTGCACACCACGAGGCGCCTTTGGGGATGCAGGGCACAAAGGGACCCTGCTGAAAAGTACAAGACAAAGTAAAAAGGTAGTGCAATGGTACGCTGACATGCACCTACATAGGTAGAATTTCGCAGGGGTTAACTGCCCCGAGGGAGGGAGCAAGGGTGCCCTTAAAAGTTGGCGGACGCGGAAGTGTGGAGATCTCACCCGGACGCGCGCCTAAAAGGCAAAACTGCCTGGAGATAGCGGCCGCTGCTTCAGTAGGCTAGGTAGGCTTACCAAGCTGACTCAGTCGAACTTCTCACGATGCCCCATAGATCGTACGGGATAGAAAATGTCGTGACCAGATGCTGCCCAAGCCTCAAGTAAGCATAAACTACATGGCCTGGCGGAAAGGATGGCAGTAGTTGTTGCGTTGTATTTTGAAACAAGTAAATTGTATCTACCTATTAATTGATCTGAATTACTTGATGGATACGTGCATAATTTAAAGCAATTTATAGTGAGTAAGGGAACAAATGTGACAATGGATGGACAAGGAGGGAAAAGGAGCTTTGGCTGCAGTTATTAGGACTACAGCTATAAGAGCTTCATCCCTTATCAGCTGGGCAGGGCGCCAATGAAGGGCCTCATCTACCTCAGGGACCTCCCATCCAACCATCTTGTAGCATATGCCGGGCTAAAAGAAAAGAAAAGTATAAAAAATGAATAGTCCCGGGGTCGCAAATCTATCTACATGATCGCAAACCAATGAGGTCGATTGATCTATCCGTCAATTACCTGATACAGTAATGATTGTTCAAGCTGACAAATGCACACAGAGCTCTCGATATCATTGCTGGTAGAGTTTGAATATGGCTATACAATCAACCCTAGCATCCACGCGTCGATTCTGCGTCGATTCTGCGTCGATTCCCATGGATTCCTCCAATGAACAATTGATTTCGTGTGCGGCTGCTGTTGAGGCTTGGGCATCAATGGATGGGTAGTGCTTTGCGGTGCGGGGACGTGGGATCGTGAATGGCTTAATGCAAGGTATAGGATCGCAAAAACTGCATGAATGCCAAAGGGTCTGCGTCTTGCCACCAAGATTGCGGCCGCCTGATGGAACCCCCCTTTCAAAAATCTGGAAGCTCTGTCAAGCCTTATCATTTATCACACAATCTCTGATCGGATGCGTCTGAAAGAAATAGTAATGACTGGAACTCTTTATCTATTTTCCAGTCATGTCTTGGAGTCTTTACGAGGATCCTTTCAATGCCCATTGAATTGCGCCCAAAATTGAAATACATGGAAAGTGTAGCCGGAGAGATTTCCAGTTGCCTTGTACTCCTGATTCTCCGATATCCAATCTCATTGTGATATAAAAGACGGAGATGTAGTTCACAGTCTCTAGCGCCTGTAATGGGCAACACCGGCGGCTTGCTGGTGACATGGCCTCTGTCCAACACTGCTACAGTACCATACGCAATTTGTCCTCTACTCATAACCAGTTATGTATCCTAGTATCTTGTATATATCATAATGCAAACAAATCGCACCCAGGGACTATGAAAAATGTCTTTTCCAAAACTGTCAACGAAGTCGTGCAGCAGGGTCGAGGAAGAAATCCTCTGCCGACTCGCCCGCCTCGGTCCAAGCTGACTGATCCTTTGCCTTGAAGACAGTATTGGTCATCATGGCTAATTGGAATGCCCTATCAGCACGGCGTCTTCTCTTTTCTACCCGCTCGTGGTAGGTACCATATGTGCCTGCTGGCAGCGCTGCATAGAGGGCGCGCGGCGTGACCCCAATCACGATACCTCCTTTCTGTCCGAACCCAAAGGACGTGAGCATAAAGGCCTTGATGCCTGGCCGCTCCAGTGCTTGGGATGGATACAGGAGATGCGGGAACGAGCGTAGCGCAGAATCAACATCATCAGCATTCCTGTTCCCAGGCACCAGTCCTGATTCCAACACTTGCATGCAGCCGTTGAGCATCCAGGCACCTGCAGCACCTTTGGGATGGCCAGTCAGGTACTTTTGGCAAATGACCAAGAGCGGATTTCCCAAGGTGCGACCGAGATGGGTCATTTGCTGATTGATGACGGCGCTCTCGTTCTTGTCGTTGGCCTTGGTCGAGGTACCATGAAACGACGCGACGCCGATGTCGTCAATGGTGAGGCCCCAGACCGCCAACGCAGCACGCATGGGGGAAATGGACGGATCCAGCTGGCGAATGTCTCCATTCCACATCCACTGGGCATCCAACTTGCAGCAGCGCGATGCCGATTCAATCATCTGCGTGTGGCCATGGCTGTCCTGGTCTCCGCCCGTGAGCGAAGTGCCCGCCAGTTGCGACAGTCGCCAGTGCTCAATCGTGGCAATCTCATGCTCCAACCGCGACCTGCGGTATTTGGTGTCTAGGAGCGGGGATTGTATAGCCAAGGGGAGCTCACGTGCCGCAGTCAGGACGCCCTTGCCTGGCGCTGGTACGGAGCGGCCGATGCTATCGCCGGCCATTTGAGTGTAGGCGACGACGGCGTAGATGGGAAGTCCCATTTCCAAAGCCAGCTCGGCACTCATCACGATTTGAACACCACAGCCGCCACTCTCGACGAATCCAGCACGCGAAGACGCCGTTGGTCGCGATGTCTGAGAGGGCAGGAAACCTTTGGCCAACTCTGCGTCGCCCATCATTGTCGCCTTCATGTTGCTAAACTCGTGCGACACCTCTTCCCTCAGATCGTCAGTGCCGCCCACCAGGGCGACTTTGACGCGTCGGGATCGGATACCCTCACAAGCATTGTCTAGGGATTCGACAGAGGTGGCGCAGGTACCGGTTGGCGTCTTGATGGGTCCTGTAGCTCCGAAAAGAAGCATGTTTGTCCAGGCCGCCATGGAGTTTAGGAAAGTCTCCTGCAGAATATCTCCCTGCACCGGCTCATCGCGGTATCGGCGGCGGTACATGTCGCCCATTGACTGAAGGGAACCGGCGCCAGTGCCAATGCAATTCAATAGCTCCGACACATGAATGTACTTGTATAGCTCAAAGGGGTCTTCTATGCCTGCGCTGAACATGGCCTCACATACACAGCAGAGGGTGTATAGAGTCATTGGGTCAGTCTGAGCAATAATATCCTCTGGGATTCCGTATGTAGCTGCGTTCCAGCCTTTCGGAAGCTGTGCGGCAACGGAATTATGGCCGCTGGTCGCCTTTGGAACGAGGAATGTCGCACCAGACTTGACAATTACCGTCCAATTTTCCGAATTGGATGCCGCTGGGAAAATGGCCACCTTTTCTCCGTGACGAAGCTTGAAGGATTGCGCAATCGTCTCTGAAGTATCAAATGACGGGAGATCATGGTCGAGTACTACTTCGTGGAGTAGTTCCTTCTTTGACGGATCGAATCCGTTGATTCCCTCAGGCTCCAAAGCCCGGATACCAGAATGGCTCATTATATGTTCCCCATAGCGCGGTCCAAACTCTGCCTCCTGTACTGGCTTGCCAGACTCGGCATCAAGCCAACCGACGTATGGCTTCCCATCAATGAGGCCATCATGGTGTCTGACTAGACCCATCATCCATGCCATCTCTGTCAGACCGTCTTGTGTCAGGGTGCCTTGGCTTTCCATTTGCCATCTTGTGCGCGAAGAGCCCCAGGGCCCCAGCTCCGAAAAGCCGACGACGACTGTTGTGCGACTCAAGTCTACCATGCCGACTAGACTGTGTAGACCTGAAGTCATGGTCTGATGAGTTGATAGTTTCGGAAATCCTTGAGTGATGTTGGAACGTTTGTTCGGTTGACCAGACTTTTGTTGGGTTTTGGCTGAAGAAACTGTAGGGCCTTGAAGGACTGACTCCTCCATCTGCCTCTCTGCCGCAATGGCTTGTCGCTCTCGCCTCCGCCCCGTAATGTCTCCACGTATGGCCATGATTTCCTCCTTGAGGTTTGGAAAGCCCATCAGTCCACCGCTGAGGTCTGCATACACAGGCCCTAGATCCGACTGCTTCACAATGGAGGGGTGGAGCAGAGCCAGAATGTTGAAAGCCATCTCCCCAGCGGAAAATGTCATGACGCCAAGCTTCTCGATGCCCTCTGCCACAATGTTATTGGCGCTCATGAGGCCGGTTCCGCGAGTCCAGCCAATAACGGCCCCGACTACGGACAAGTAATCGGACCACCGCTCAGAGTGATATCGGTTGAACAAAGTCTCAAGCCCAATCTTGGACTCTGAATAGAGTCCATCGCCGCCAAAATCTCCATGATTGGGTGAAAGCGGTAGGACCAGAGTAGTGGGGCGACCAGTATACTTGCGCTTCTCCTTCTGTTGCTTGATGTATCCCATCAGACGCAATACGTTGGTCAACATGGCTCGATGAGCCACCTCTGAACGTGGACCGATCCCATCGATCTCGGAACCAGGCTCGGGAATCGCAGCGAAAGGAATCACAAAGTCCAAGTCGGCCCCGAGACCCTTGCCGCTGTCGTATATATGCGCGACGAGGTCCTGAGCATCATTCTTGCTTGCGGCATTGAAGGGCAGGAGGACCAGCTCTGAACCCAGGGCTCCCACGTCCTTGTATAATTGAGACATGACGGAACCAGCAGAAGCAGCCGTACGACTTGTCGTCACAATGACTCTGGCTCCACCCGATAGCAGGCCGCGGACCACCTCGATGCCGATGCTCCCGAGGCCAGCACCAGTCACAAGGGCCGTCTTGCCGGCGTAGGTGATGCCGGACGTGTTGCCTACAAAAAGAGCCTCGAGATACTTCTTTGTAAGCTCGGCATCATACTGCCAAGACGTGTTTCCACGGCTCAGGCAATGGACATAGCTACTGCATGGCCCGCCACGGCGCGTAGAGCTAACGATGTCAAAGTAGGTTGTTCCTGCCTTTAAATCGTGCGTTCGGTCGGTTTCGCTGTACTTGATTGAGCCGTCCCCGTCGACAGATGTGTGTGGCGCCTTGGCCGTCTCAAAGTACCGGAAGACTGGCGGAGCGGCCTGCGCGTGTGGCTTGAACTTGAGGAGCTCTTCAGCAGCCTCTTTGGCCAACCCGGTCTTTGCACAATATCGTAGCATGTCTTCCAACTCGGAAGTCCACCGGTTTGTCAGAGCTTGCAACTGCTCCTGAGGTATTGTTGTGCCGTCTTTCTGAAGCATTTGTACTGCATCTTCGCGGACCCAGTTCCACCACGAAGAGTATCGCCGTTCCTTTTGGACATCAAAGATGCCCTGGACTCCAGTAAGGAACTCTTCATCCAACTCGGCGTAGAAGCTATCTAGCTTGTTGCGAAGGTCATTTGTGACGTCGCTGCTCTTTGTCGCGTCTGGGTTGAGTTCAATGCCGAGATGCTTGGCAAGAACCTGGAGTTGTTTCCTCAGAATGTCGTTTTGGCTAGTCTTGAGCGCCTCAAGATCGGCACTGTCAACTTTCACCACGGCATTCTGCAATGCTTGTGCGGCGCCACCCGATGATGGCGTGGGCAGCGAGATGCCAGCTTGCTTGGCGTAACGACCGACTGCCGAGTCAAGAAATGCGTGCACCTGGCTTACGTCGGACAATCGAGAAGGTGGTTCCATGGTCACACAGAAGCATTGGACTGCTATTTCACTGTTTGGCCCGAGACCCCAGCGCGACGCCAGATATGTGACCAATTCTGTCTGACCGAAACCGCCGGGCATCTTGGATGATATGAACCTTTCTACAAGCCGTTTTGATGATTTGCCTAGTTTCCCGGAGAAACCAGAGGCGAGCTTTTCGCCCAGGGCGTCTATAGCAGTGCTCTCACTGCCATCTGGCAGATCTCCAAACTCTGCAGCAAGATCGCCAATGAGTTCGTTTTGAAGTGTTGATTTGCCTGGTCATGAGTCAGTACTTTCAAAGTGAACACTTTGATGTAACAGCTTGACCTTACCTGCAGACAATGCTTGAATTGTTTCACCTAGAGGCACTTCGTCAAATGCCTTTCGAATTTTCTGGGCCACCAATGTGAGAATGATATCGGTTGGTGACAGATCCTTATCAACTATAGTTTCCGGTGCGACTGCTACTGGCACGATAGCGACGGGAGCGGCCTCGGTCACTTGGATAGGTGCGGCAGCCACTTTTACTGCTGGGCCTGGGGCGGACGTTGGGGATCTAGTATCAGACAGGGATACATCTTTCCCTGATGGTGACGAGCTTTCATCATACTCGTAGTATATTTTCCGTGCGTCGTCTACATTGTTGATGTTGAGAAACTCCCTGTCGACGGATTGCACAACGTCTTGTTCTCCGACAAGCCTCTGTGCCGACTTCTTGGCCATGTTTGCCAGAACATTGGCAGGACCTATCTCAATCACGCGCTGTACTTCGCGATTCGAAGCTAGAAGCTCCTTTTGTGTATCGATCCTTGGGGTTCTATCAGCATTGGCATATCACGGCCATGTCGGGATACATACCATCGTACAGGAAAGGCGAATTGATATCTGTTGTTAAATTAAAATTAGTCTTCCTCCAAGAGATTATACGATTGTTCTGATGTGCCGTTGAAGAAAATACATACGTTAAAAGCTCTATCAGTAGGTTATAGGCTATGTGCTGCTCTGGAGTTCTCCGCCCATGTCGCGCCTCTGGAAGTGAGGCACCACCTTTGATGGCAGTCATGGTCATTGTCGGGTGTGTGTATGCCGTGTACACGAGGAACAATATGAAAGTCCTAGTACTTCATGTGGTGGCGATAGAAAATGAAATTCAAGAATCGATTGTCTTTAAAGATGTGCAGATCAACTGCTGCTGAACACTACAACTCGGATCGTGGGATGCACCCAATAGATAAATGTCCAAGCATCTAATCTAGAAATGAGAGAATTGACTGTCTATAGATAAGGCTATCTAGGATTTACTGGGCCCAGGTGATTTTGGGTTGGTGGTGCGATCGTGTCAATATGACCCGAAAACAAGGTACCATCATACAGAGTCGGAGTTCAATGACACATGCCTCGGCGGTGCAACCAGTTGCGATATCGTAATTTCAGCCTTACTAACCAAGACGATCTCAAACTTCGGAACTGCTGAGTAGAACAAAAATTGTCCGTTCTGATAGACGGAGGTCAGCGCCGGCCAAGTCAGACGCAATTGTCTGACCCCGGGCCTCGCTTGCCGGCCCCGAAGTCGGTCGCCAACACTCGAAAACCGTCCACATCGGTAGGTAGCACAACGTCCGAAAGGTGAGAAAAGGTGGAAGATTGCGGTCTTGACAAACAGAATGATTTGATTTGAGCTGAATAAATTGATTGATGGCTGGATGTTGATGGCATGAGTAAAGAAGTTTCCAGATTTTCTACACTAGCAAAACTACATCATGTCTCCCGCTGTGATTTCGCAGACCAACGGCGCCAATGGCACAAACGGTGCCAAGGCTCAATTGGGCGACGTTTTGCACATCATTGACAGCCGTACGGGCCAATACCACGCCATCAACATCCACCAGAATGCCATCAACGCCAGCGACCTCAAGGTGTTGAAAGCGCCCAAGGACGCGAACCATCCCGAGTACCAAAATGACCAGGGTATTCGAGTCTATGATCCTGGCTACTCCAACACCTTAGTCAGCGAAAGCAAGATCACGTACATGTTAGTGGCCCGAGCAATCCCAGGCGGTCCTATCTATAGTCTCGCGTCGTTCTGACAAAATACCAGTGATGGTCTGGAGGGCACTATCCAGTACAGGGGATACTCAATCGACGATATTATCGGCAAGAAAAAGTTTGTCGACGTGTCTCATTTGCTCATCTGGGGAAAGTGGCCATCAGCAGATGAGGCCCAGACATACCAGCAACGTCTAAACGATGTGCCACTCATCAACGAGACTGTTTTCAACGTCATTAGATCATTCCCGTAAGCAGTTGCCAGTAATGTAACCATAATTGCCGTAAATGGCTAACGAGACAACCGATACAGAAAGGATGGGTCCATCTTGGGCATGATGATTGCAGGACTGAGCGCTTTGCAATCAAGCGACATGAGTGCCGTGCCGGCCCATGCGGCCAAGAACCTCTACCTTGGCCAGCCAAAGAATGTGGATGACCAGATCATTCGAGTAATGGCTAGCCTGTCCATGATCACGGCTGCCGCCTACTGTCACCACAGCGACCGGACCTTCACGCCACCAAGAAAGGACTTTTCCTATGTGGGAAACTTCCTCCTCATGACGGGCCACGTCGAGGAGAGCACGGGAGTGCCAAACCCCCGTTATGTGGATGCGATTGAGCGACTCTGGGCAACCGTTGCCGACCACGAAATGACTTGTTCCACGGCAGCCCTGCTGCAGACTGCTTCGGCGCTTCCAGACGTCATCTCGAGTTTGATCTCGGCCCTGTCTGCCAGCTACGGCCCGTTGCACGGCGGCGCCATCGAGGTCGCGTACAAGAACATTGAAGAGATTGGCACGGTCGAGGATGTACCGGCCAAGATTGAGCGCGTCAAGGCGGGCAAGGAGCGTCTTTACGGCTATGGCCATCGTGTATACCGCGTCACCGACCCTCGCTTCACATACATTAGCGATATTCTCGATGAACTATCCGACGAGATTGAAAAAGATCCTCTTCTCCGAGTCGCATTCGCTCTAGACCGCGCAGCCGCTCAGGATGAGTACTTTATCTCGAGAAAGCTTCGTCCCAATGCCGACTTGTTTGCCGCATTTGCCTACAAGGCCATGTAAGTGGTTTCCCATGATTTCAATAGACCGCAATAGTGCTAACTATATGGTCAAGTGGATTCCCAGCCAACTTTATCTTGCCAATTTCGGCCGTATCAAGAACACAGGGGTTCATGGCTCACTGGAAAGAGGCAATGGGTAAGTAATTATTTTCCTGGGATCTTTATCAAATGTGCGCACTAACATCTATTTAGAAGGTGCACCTCGTATCTGGCGGCCGGGCCAGAAGTACACGGGCAACCTGAACCAGACTGAGTAATGATACAATAAGATGTAACTATTTTTACTATTTAGCTACCATCATCACTATTCATCCTACAATGCATCAATGATTTAGCAATGAGATTAAATTGAATAAAGTACTAAGACTAGCCTTGATGGTCACAATGCATGTCATGAGTCTTGTAGTCTAAATGCGCGCCATTTGACATTCAGCTACATTCATGTTCAAGTTCTCAGTACTGCTAAGAAAGGTTTCGTGCAATAGTCCACAGCACCGCTCGAATCTTGGTCCAAGAAACCTAGCAATTCAAATGACAGGTGCTTATTATTCCGTGAGGCATCAGACAAGTTGTAACGGACAGGCATAGTGCAGAAAACGTGCAAGTGTTATTTCTAAATGGAGATACCGATCAAGATGAATATGCTTCTCTGTCTTTTTCACTTTTGAAATAAGTCTATGAACGTGCTTGCAGGAAGTGACTCGAAATCTGCTTGATCAAGAGTTGCCATAATACCATCGACTTGATCCTGAGAGAAACCCAGAGCCAAGTTGCGAACTGCCTTCTGCCGCACAAGAGGAATGGTCTCATCGCCACGGGCGGGATGGCCCAATGGGAAATCTTGCCGTGTTACAATCGTTGTGCCGTCCTGAAGCAAGAACTCCATGGAGCTGCCTACACTGCGTATATCGGGATTATGGTAGTCCCGTGTGAATTGGACATCTTCCTCCATACTGATAATGGATCGCAACTTCTCCACTCGAGCATCCGTAGCCCAAGGGCTGTCATCCTGATAGTCCTCAGTCTCAACCTCGACCCCATTCTTCAGCAATACGACAGCCATCATGTACCTCAAGCAGTGATCCCTATCAGCTGGGTTGTTGAGAGGGCCTTTCTTGTTTATGATGATCATGGCTGGCTCTTGAGTTCGTACACGAATGCTCTTGATGTCCTGAATGGGGTCAAGGCCACGCGCCTGCAGCTCCTTGCTGGCTGCCATAGTCGCTTCCACCGCGGTCAGGCCGTGTCCTTCGGCAGTCAAGACCTTGAAGACGGAATTTTCAATGACCCATGTGCCGAATCCCTTGGGCAGCTGAAAGTGCTGTCCCTTGTTGAGCACCTCATAGAATCCCCATCGTGGCGCGGTCAAGGAGGTCCGGATTCCCGGCTGGCCCGCTCGCGCCAGGGCTGCCAGATGCACTGCGCGCATACATGCGTCGCCCGCCGCCCATCCCTTGCGTGGGCCTGCGTTGGGAGCCTGACGAAAGATGCGCAGCGGATGGCCATCGACCCAGGCATGGGATACTGCCGAGCGCGCTTGTTCGCGGCTCAGGCCCATCATCCAGGACACAACAGCAGTCGATCCGACCTTGACTAGAATGGTATGATCAAGTCCGACGCGGTTGAATGCATTTTTGATTTGGAATACGCCCTGAATCTCGTACGCCTTGATCAAACTGATCAAGACTTGCTTGATTGTGATGACACTATCGCTTTTGCCCTGCGCTAGTGCCTCTCTCGTCAAAACATCCGCAGTGGCAATAATCGCCCCTAGATTGTCTATCCATACCATGTCAGCAATGCATTCATACGGCCGCATCGACGGGCTTACCAGAGGGGTGCCCCCACTCTGCACCGGCAAATGCATCATTGTGGTCGAGGTAGCGAATCATTGCCCCCATGTCGAAAGCCCCTTGCAAAAGATCCAAGGAGTATGTCGTGCCTGGAAGTCGGAAACCACCAACGACCGAGACTGCCCCCGGCAGGATTGGCTTCACCAGAGCGGCACATTCTTTACTCTTGGTAAGGCTTTCGATGGCAACGCCCAGGGAGTCAATGAGAGCCAACTTGGCTCGAGCCAAAGCTGCCTCTGAAATATCTTCATAGTCGTAGACATAGTCGACTATGAGCGTGACGACCTCATCGTATGGTCTCTCTGAGTTATCATCTGGTTGAGGGATATGCATGATGCCTGTCAATTCTCTGCTTGCTCTGACTGTATGCGTGAATACAGACGAGTCCCTCACTACGGCTTCATTGCCACTATTCTAGCTAATCTAATCAAGTATTTCAGTTCATGCAGTTACTCATAGTTCAAAATCGAACCATCAATGAGAACCCGAGCTAGGTATGTCTATCGGTGGTCGGCACCCGGGTCCGAGCACAAGATGAGGCTCAGCCGATACGGCCCGCGTTTGCATGCTAAAAGCTGACTAGCCTTGAATCGCTACAGAATGTACGGTAGGCCGCTAATTCGGAACCGTATTGAGCCCCCGAATCAATTGCAATATAGTCCCGGCCGGGGTGCTTATCGACTGCATACCTAGATGGGACAATGCGGCGTCGCCGAGCACGAGATAAGCGTGATGCGATTGTTCCGTCGCTCCAGCTAACACAGTAGAGTCGTGAACCGTGATTTTGTGGAGTCCTCAATGGGACCTTGGCGGCCGAACTCAAGCTGAAGGCCATCTCATTATGTTATTTACTTTGATCCAAGGAAGGCCATAATCTCCTTGGTGTCTTGTGCAGTATTCAGCCATGTTGGGGGTGCCACACATTACACGCATGAATTGGATACTTCTTGAATCCGACAATCGTTACACTCGTCTGACGGTTTTATTTGCCATTGTTGGATCACAGGAACTTCGATTCAATTTATCACCATTAGTAAACTCTTTCTCGCCAAGCTCGATTCATTGTTGAGTTCTCACATTGCTTAAACACACCATTCATCGCGATACTCTCATCGTACATCGGCATGACTACATCAGAAGAGGGTACATCGTCATTCGACGAGGTAAACCCCACGCCAAAGATTTTTGATACTCCTGGCTTGTTCACTCCTGTCACTCCTGGAGTCCTAGTCCAATTCTCCATCAGCTTCCAACAAGTCCATGTCGAGTTTACTCTGCCTGCATCAGATGCATCGCAACTAAACGAGTCTCGAAGAACCTTTCTCGCCACCCTCGACCAATCGCAGAGCAATAGCGATGGCAAGGCATCGATATCAGCGGCCGTGCTGGCATTCCAGTTCTTAGAATATCTCCTGACAAGCCGCGTGTCTCTTGGGACATTGGCACGAGTCTTCGACGCGGTTCAATCAGATATATTACGAGACAAAGAGATACATGATTTCTTGAACCAGCTAGACGATGGCATCTCTGCACGGAAATACATATTGCGCACATACATGGTCCTGGTGGCCAAGCTTTCTATTCCACTACCATCTGGTCCTAGTGCCTTTATATCTGCGGCGACTAGAGAAAAGCACCGGATCTTGGTGACATTTGGGGGTCAGAGCTCGGCCAACCCCAACTGTGTGGATGATCTTGCAGACCTCTATTCCATCTATCAACCGTACTTGGAACCCCTCGTCACGGTTCTGGGCGATGTTCTCAACTCGCTGTCGCGGCACCATGACACCAAGGCATTTTATCTGGGTCGCGAGATTGACCTCGCAGCCTGGCTGGCAGACCCGGCAACACGACCGAGCAAGAGCTTCATCTCTGGTGCAGCTGTCAGCTTTCCCATCATTGGTCTCACAGGATTGCTACACTATTCCGTAATATGCCAATTGCTGGGCAAGACTCCAGCAGAGATGGCTCAGACCCTGGCTGGAACTACGGGTCACTCGCAAGGAATAATACTTGCTACAGCAGTCGCAAAAGCTCATTCGTGGGAGTCATTTCTCGTGGAAGCAAAGTGGGCCATGGAAATGCTATTCTGGATTGGCTATGAGAGCCAACTCGCAGCGCCACAGTCGGCGCTCAGCCCAGCAATGATCAACGATAATGTACAAAACGGAGAGGGCATTCCGTCTCACATGTTGTTGGTACGAGGAATGGGCAGAGAAAAATTGGACGGCATGATTGCTGCAGGCAACAAGTACCTGTCAAAGGATGAGCGCCTCCACCTGTCCCTCATCAACTCTTCAGCAGATCATGTTGTTGCTGGGCCGCCGAAAAGCCTGAGAGGTCTAGTCTTGCGGTTGCGTCAAATTCGCGCAAAGGACGGTCTTGATCAAAGCCGTGTGCCATACAGCAAGAGAAAACCAGTCATTTCCCTGGTTTTCCTACCGGTCAATGCGCCTTTCCACACACCCTATCTACGGGAGGCAGCGGACCGTGTCAGCGCAAGAATGTCTAGATCCTGGCCGGACCCTGCGAGGATAAGCGACCTGAGAATTCCAGTTTTTGACACCGAGAGCGGCTTAGACATGCGCATGGCATACAGGCCAGAAGCAGACATGACCCATCTCTTGATCGACGCTGTCAGTACAAAGGTGGTGGATTGGCCCAAGACTCTTCAAGTGGACAATGGACCAAGAAGATTCTCACACATCATTACTCTCGGTGCCGGGCGCTTCGCTGGCATGGTGCATCAGAATGTGGATGGCCGCGGTGTTCGTGTGATTGATGGCACGAAGCTCGACACTGCCGACCTGGCCACGACGGGAGACAAGGCAGAGATGTTTGCGCAAGAATTCTCCAGGTCATCTACTTTTATCAAGTCATGGAAAGAGAGGTTCCGACCTCGACTCGTTCAGTCTGCCGATGGCGACTACAGAGTTGAGACGCGGTTGAACAAGATTCTGAAAGCCCACCCCATCATAGTCGCCGGCATGACGCCGACCACAGTGCCATGGGACTTTGTCGCATCTGTCACCGATGCCGGGTATCACATTGAACTGGCCGGCGGTGGCTACCACAATGCTGCAGCCATGACGTCGGCCATTGAGAAGCTGGCCGCCAACATACCAGTGGGACGGAGCATTACATGCAATCTGATCTACGTCGACCCAAAGGCGATAGGTTATCAAATTCCTCTGATCCGCCAGCTCATCAGCAATGGGTTGCCGATTCGAGGGCTCACAATTGGTGCTGGCGTTCCATCCTCCGAGGTTGCTGCACAGTACATTGAGACCTTGGGCATTGAGCACATTTCCTTCAAGCCTGGGTCCATCGGGGCTATACGAGATGTCATTAGCATTGCCAAGGCACACCCTACCTTTCCCATCATTCTTCAATGGACTGGCGGCCGCGGTGGCGGTCACCACTCATGCGAAGACTTTCACCAACCACTGCTTGAGACGTATAGCGAGATACGTCGCTGCTCCAACCTCTACCTTGTGGTAGGCAGTGGCTTTGGAGACGGCAAGGGAATGCTCCCCTATCTGACTGGATCCTGGTCCGTTCCGTTCGGGAGGCCAGAAATGCCGTGCGATGGCATATTGCTAGGCAGTAGAATGATGGTTGCCACCGATTCAAACACCTCCCCCAGCGTCAAGAAGGTTCTAGTAAAGGCTTCGGGTGTCAACGATTCGGAGTGGGAACAGTCATATGAGAAGACAGGTGCTGCCGGGGTTCTGACTGTAACGTCGGAGATGGGCCAGCCCATCCACAAAGTAGCCACGCGCGGTGTCCGGCTCTGGAAAGAAATGGACGACACCATCTTCAGTCTTCCCAAGTCGGAGCGCAGAGCAGCTCTTCTCAAGCGCAAAAGCGAGATAATCAAGCGCCTCAATGAAGATTACGCCAAGCCCTGGTTCGGTCAAGATGCTGCGGGCCATGCGGCGGACCTTGAGGACATGACCTATGCTGAGGTGCTAGATCGACTGGTAAACCTCATGTATGTTGCTCATCAGAAGCGATGGGTCCACCCATCCTACCACGAACTTGTGCACGAGTTTGTCGATCGGACGCTTGAAAGATTGTATCCTCACAGTGTTGATCCTTCCTTGCTGGAAAATGCAGAAACCTTGATCTCGGAGCTAAAACGCCTTTGCCCCGAGATTACAGAGCAAATCCTCCATCCCGAGGACGCCCGTGCTTTCGTGCAGGCTTGCAAACTCCGTGGCCGGAAGCCAGTCAATTTCGTCGTGGCTTTTGACGATGACTTTGAACACTGGTTCAAGAAGGACTCTCTGTGGCAGTCGGAGGACATTGAGGCCGTCATCGATCAGGACCCAGAACGTGTCTGTATTTTGCAAAGCCCCGTATCTGTGAGATACTCGACGAGAGATGACCAGTCATCCAAAGAAATTCTAGATGAGATTCAAAATGATCTGGTCGCCTTGATGCAGGCTTACAAGGATTCGAGCAACGTCAAACTCCAGGCGACACTGCCCGTGGCCGTGGCTCATCCAATCTCCAACAGTATCATTATCGATGACATGGCTGGTAGTACCGCTTTCAAGCCCGTGTCCGGCCAAGATCTCCCCGGTCCAGATGACTGGATCGAGTGTCTAGAGCCCTACACATGCCCTTCCGTCCTTGCCCTACTTGAACAAGACACCTTGTTTGAAACTTCTACAAACCGTAGTCGTCCTAACCCATTCCGTCGCATCTTCTCAGCCCGACACGGATACACTTTGATTCTGGACCGCGACTGCGACCAGATGTCGCTCCAACATGATGACTCGGATCAGACTATCGTACGCGTGACCGCCGCCTCTCCTGATAAGCTTCAGGTACAATTCGTTCATGGCGACCATGTTCCCACGGGCGTGGCAAGTTTGACTCTGCAATTAAAGTATGATGCGCGCAGCATGCAGCTGATTGACTGCACCGACAATCGCAATCGCCGGATCCAGGATTTCTATGCCCAACTCTGGCTCGGCCAGGGAGAGGCACAAAATGGCAGACTCACAGACCGTTTCTTTGGGGGCAGCTTCGAGCTCACCCAAAAGCTTCAGCAAACCCTGAGCTCGGTCGTCTCCCACGCCATGTCTGATGGGTCCAGTATCGGTCGAACAAATACCCTGCCACTGGAGACAGGCGTGATCGCGTCATGGGACGTCTTGATGACTCCCTTGCTGATCAGTGATCTAGACGGCGACATCCTCCGCCTCGTACACCAGTCGATAGGAATCGAGTATACCTCTGGCGCTGCGCCGTTGCAGGTCGGGGATTCTATCAATTCAGAGTCCTCGATCCGGTCTGTAACAATTCAGCCATCGGGCAAGTCGGTCGTTGTTGAGGCCAAGCTGCTTCGGGAAAGTCGTCACATTGGCACTGTCACATCCGAGTTCTTCATCAAGGGCAGCTTCTCCGACCACCACAATACTTTCCGATATGAGGAAGAGCCCGTCATGGAGCTCAAGGTCGAGTCCAAGATAGATGAGGCTGTCTTGCGTGATCGTTCTTGGCTCCGACTCGATGATGCGTGTGATACACTTTCTGGAAAGACATTGATATTTAAAACACAGACGCGAGCTCAATGGCTGGATCATACAAAGGCTGCGGACCTCATGATCCGAGGCACTGTGGAGCATATGCTCTGGAATGGCAGCAGAGTCAAAGTGGGTTCCATCTACCTTGACGCGACCAGAAGTCTCGGAAACCCAGTCATGGACTTTCTTCAACGAAAAGGCAGAGTCATTGATGCCAAGGTGATGCTCAAAAATCCCGGATGGGCTGAAGACTCTGAACGTACCGTCATTATGCCCTCCCACACGCAGCTTTACGCCGAGACTTCGGGCGACTGCAATCCCATCCATGTATCTCCAGTCTTTGCCGACCTGGCTGAGCTGCCTTGCCCCATTATGCACGGCATGTACACGGCAGCAGTCTCCAGAAAGGTGGTCGAAGATCTCGTGGTTCCGGGCGAGCCACAGCGGATGCGGCGCTTCAATGCCTCCTTTGTTGGCATGGTTCGGCCAGGCGACCACCTCATTGTGGGATTCTCACATGTTGCGATGAACAATGGTCGCATGGTCCTCAAAGTCACAGCCCGTCAGGAAGAGACTGGCGAGGAGGTGCTACGCGGCGAGGCCGAAGTCGACCAACCCTCGACAGCATACCTGTTTACTGGTCAGGGAAGCCAGTCACCTGGGATGGGAATGGGTCTCTATGAGACTAGTCCCGTTGCCAAAGCCATCTATGATGAGATGGACAGCCATATCAGGGACACGTACGGTGAGTGATGACTTGATTATTTTGCCAAACATTGAAGAGAATGATACTAATGATTGGGATTTGCTAGGCTGGTCGATCCTTCAGGTCATTCGAGAAAACCCGAAAGAGCTTACGGTTCATTTCCGAGGTCGCCAGGGCCAGAAGATACTTCAAAACTACCTCGATATGAGGTCCGAGGTGACCGAGAGCGACGGTACACGCCGTTCAATCCCAATCATACCAGGATTGAGCCGAGACTCGACATCGCACACCTTTTCCGATGCTCGCGGTCTTCTGCAATCGACACTCTTTGCACAACCAGCCATCATCTTATTGGAAAAGGCGACTTTTGAGCACATGAGAGAGAGCGGACTGATCCAGGAGGGCGCCTTGTTCGCTGGCCACTCGTTGGGCGAATACGGAGCCCTCTCTTCCTTGGCTGGCTTTGTCAGTTTCAAGGACATGCTCAGCATTTGTTTGTATAGAGGGTTGATCATGCAGCTGGCCGTTCCCAGAAACCACCAAGGCTATACTGGTTACTCCATGATGGCAGCCAATCCAGCTAGGGTGGGAAAACGTGAGTCTCTCACAGCTGCTGCTCACTGGTTGAAGTCCACCAAAGCTAATTCTCCACGCTAGATTTCGATGATGCCGCGCTGCGACAAATTGTCCGCCATATCCACCGCGAAAGTGGCGAGCTGTTGGAAATTGTAAATTTCAACATTGAAGGTGAACAATATGTTTGTGCCGGTCATGTATGTCTCTTTTCCACCCAATCCTTTTGAATACGACAAGTTAACACAACTAGGTGCAAAACCTCCATTGCCTTACCGAGATACTCAATGCTGCCGCTGTCCAAAAAATCAAGCCGGCATCCATTCAGGAGTTCCTAGGCTCTTCGGAGCCGGAGGGAACCACTGTCGGGAAGATCATTGCCCAGAGTATCGCGCAGTCAAAACAATTACCGCTGGATGTTGAGCTCCGTAGGGGCAAAGCTACCATTCCATTGGCTGGCATTGAAGTACCGTTTCACTCGAGCCGCTTGGAACCTGGAGTTCCTACATGGCGAGCCTTCCTGCGCGATCGTATCGTGGTAGAAGACATACGCCCAGAGCGGCTCGTGGGCAGCTTCATTCCGAATGTCGTTGGAAAGCCATTTTCTCTGGACAGTTCCTTTGTACAGGAGGTGGCTCATATCACGCAAAGTCCGATTCTGGAAAGAATAGTTTGCTAAAGTTTAGGAATATACGAAAGGGATATCTGGAAGGGAGGGTACATGTTTCTAGATTCCCTTTGCCTTGTTGACTTTCTTTCATAGTATATTTCGCGAGCATGCTTCAGAACTTGAGACAATATTACGCTTTCAATTCGTCTTATTGAATACCTACGCAACATGAACGGCACTATTGATAGATTGTCACTAGATGTGCCGTAATGAAAGAACTGCCCTGCGTTAAATTTTAATGCTAGCGCCAAGGCGTGTCTTAATAATTGCTAACTTCGTCTTTTCTTACTTCTTCGCACGACATTGATGGTTCCATCCCGAATATAGCAAGGGTTGAGAATTATCTACTATTCAGTTTAGGTTAAAGAAAAGCCAATGCAACAATCTTCGTTCGTTCAATCCAGGCACATCGAGTATGCTGGAATAACTGAGGAGGCCTCGATCATACTTCTTTGAACGTGCTGTTTACACCTAGTCATGTCGTCACTGCCTCTTTTCAGAATCAAGCTTGATCTAATAGATTCAACATGGATATATCATTACAACTAGAAAGTAGTCGCTTCCACTTAGAGCACCTTCTTAGTGAGTGGGGCAAGCAGCTGGAACAACTCTGATATATCCTCGATGTTCTCCAGGTCCAATATGAGCTGTTCAATGCGCTGCAAGCGCTGTTCGTCATCAATGGCAGACGTGGCTAGTTTCCGGTATTTGCCCTGTATCTCCTTGTCAGTGATTGGGGGGTTATAGCCGCGTGGCTGGTCCAGGACCGTTTCGACCTTGAAGCCATCGTCAAACTCGATTGCAATCCGCGCACCGCATGCGAAATGTGGTTGATCAAAGTGCGCATCATGATAGCAACTCGTCTTGTACACCAAGTCCCAAACATCGTCGCGGTTCAAGTTCTTGTCCGCAAATTGTTCCAGGAGCACCTGGCGATCCACGAGCTGCATGGCGCCAATGAAGGCGGCATTCATCTGGGCGCCGGTAGTCGCTAATGGTCGCTCATGGGGTTCCCAGCCATCGTGCGCAAAAATGGGGCCCGAGAGACCCACCTTGATGCTGGTGATGTGAGCAAGCTTGTCGTTTTCGAATCTCTCGGGGTATTCCTCCTGCAGCTTGGCGAGTGCCTCGATCTGGCCGTGGCAACCGCCAACACAGGCGTGTAGCTTGACGCGAATGTTGAAGATTTCCCACTTCTGACCTAGATTCTGAACCACGCGACGAACGTCGTAGGCAGGCTCGGAATTATTGCCCTTGCTGAACATGCTCAGAAAGCCGCCATAGCGACGCTCAAACACCTTCTTGATGCCGACATAGCCATTGCGGGCGAGCAGTGCTCCAAAAAGGCCGTTGCGCGCTGCGAATGCGTGCTGGACGCGCTTGATCATGCCCTCGTATGTTGCCGACATGAGGCCGCCAGCCTGCGTGCACGCAATGCCAACGGCAGATTCGGTGTCGTCGGCCGAGAGGCCCATCAGGCGGGCGCTGGCCACGGCGGCGGCTGGACAGCCAAAGATGGCCCCCGAGTGCCATCCTCGAACGAGCAGCTCGCCACCACCCAGCGCCGAGCCTGCGCGTGGGCCTGTCTCGAAACCAACAACAGCAGCCAGGAGGAATTCAAGGCCGGACACCGTCTGCGTCGTCTTGCCTCTACCGTTACCAGTCGCGAGGAATTGTGCTGCGGCCAGGAGAGCTGGCACCACCACAGCGGCCGAGTGTAGTGGAGCTGCGCTGTGGTAATCATCCAGTTCAGTGGCCTGGATGAAGGCGCCGTTCAAGATGGCAGCTGCTAGGGGGCTCAGGGCCTGGAGATTCGTCCACTGTCAGCGGCTACGAACCCAAACACAGTGGGGAGATTTCCCACCAACTTGCGCTATCATCACTAACCTCGTCATATCCAATAACACTGCAGTACCCAGGAGCTTCATAGTCCAAGATGGCATCAGCACATTGCTCAGACCAGGGCACATGGCCGCCGACCAATGCACAGGCGATCCCGTCCAGAATGAGGTGCTTGACACGCTCGAGAACTGGCTTCGGGACATCTGAGACTTTCAGGCCAACTGCCCATTCACAAAGTGCGGCAGTTGTTCCGGCATGCTCATCCAAGGCAGGATCGGATTCCTTCTTGGAGTGCATGTCGCTGAGATTGTCATACTTGGCGGCCCCCATTTTCTGAGCCTAAGTGCCAAAGTTGGCAAATTGTACGGTAGACGAAGTGAGGATCGATACAGAAAAGCTGAATGGCAAGTAATCTGAAAATTCTGCTTATGACGTGGAAGAGTTCAATACATAAGACTTCAAGATTATATAATACCTATTGATTCGCTATAGTAGGTCCCGTGCATGATCAAACGATTCACGCAGATCAATGGCCAAAAGGCTCACGAACTCTCGGGTGTAATGTTCGCTGAACCATGAAACTCAGTAACCTAGTAGTGTGTAGCAGTGGCAGCCCGCTCACGAGGACGGCGTAGGCACGTAGCTCTTAGGCGGCACTCCACTTTCTTGGGGTTGTCCGGGCTAGGTGACGGGACTCGCCGCGCTGTACGCTCAATTGCTCCAGGTAGTTTAGTGGCCTAATCGGCTCCGTGTGCCGAGCCCCGAGCATTCTGTGCCATGCATCAGCTGCCCGCGAAGCCCGATACTAAGGTAATTCATGGGGCAGTCTCCAACCGCTCGGGTAGGTTAGAACCTGATGCCATTTCAATTCCCGGGCGGCCATGAGTCTACATCGGAAGTCGGCCGGATCGTATGGTTATGTATGCACCGCGCTTATTCGCTACTGCTTCAGATTGCTGCCATGAGACCATTTACACGGGCGAGAAGGGAAACGATGAGTAGATGACTTATTACTTATTTACTGTCTCATATCATTATAAACACACACTCGTGTGCTTTGGTGTAGCGAGGCCCATCTATCTTTTACAATACTCATTTTCTTTTAGCCAATCATACTACCGACTCAACATGACAGTCAACGGGTCCGCTAATGGTGTCGTTAATGGAAACGGGGTTGCTCCCGCCAATGACTATGCCGTAAGAACTGATCATCGTGAGCCACTCAAGCCGACCGGAAAGTTGGCAGGTTTCAAGACTATTGATGTCACTCCCGTCATTGGTACCGAGTTCCCGGATGTGAAGTTGCTTGACTGGCTTGAGGCCCCGGACTCTGATGAGTTCTTTCGTGAGCTTGCCATTACTGGTTAGTCCTTGGTCTCTTAACGTTGATTCATTCTCATACCTCTGCGATGCATCTTGAGCGTGGGACTTACACTGTAAATAGTATCACGCCGTGGTGTAGTCATCTTCCGTGCACAAGATGGCATCACAACAGACCACCAAAAGATCATTGCCCGCAAGCTGGGTAACCTGTCGGGCGGACCAAAGGGCCACGGTCTGCACCACCATCCCATCAACAACTCGAGCCAGAACCCTGGAGTCGATGACGAAATCTCCATGGTGGGCTCCAAGCAGGTGAAGAACTACTCTGGCATCACCCCGGCCATCTCCAACAACGCCGACGGCAAGCGCCAGTCGTCGCGAAAGGAATGGCACTCGGATATCCAGTGGGAGCGCGCTCCTTGCGATTACTCGGTTCTTCGTATGGAGGTCAGTCCCCCGACTGGTGGTGGTAAGTTTTCAATTTACATTTACTCCCAAGCCTACAAGCCAAAGTGATCATGGATGACTGAGTAAAGACCCTAGATACCATGTTTGCTTCTGGCTACGAAATGTATGACCGCATCTCGACTCCGTACCAAAAGTTCCTCGAGTCGCTGTCCATCACTTGCTACCAGCCTCACTACCAGCTCGTGGCCGACAAGCTCGGCATCCAAATGTTCGAGGGACCCCGGGGCTCCCCCGTCAACGTGGGCTCCGACATGCTTGCCGTCCACCCGCTCGTGCGCACCAACCCCGTCACTGGATGGAAGTCCCTCTTTGGCGTCGGCATTCACATTACCAAGATCAACGGTCTTTCGCCCGAGGAGAGCGACAACCTGAGGGACGTTTTCCTCAAGCTCATTACCGAGAATCACGACCTCCAGGCCCGATGCAGATGGCAGAATCCCAACGACATTGGTGAGTTTTTAAATATGACCACGCAGACGTGCTGTCTTCTTTCGTAACTCTTGCTAATGTTGTTCTTTTTGTGTTTTAGCGATCTGGGATAACCGCAGCGTTTTCCATGCCGCCACTGTGGATTATACTGGTGAGCGCGCTGGCTACGGCGCTAGAAGCATTGGCGAGAGGCCGTACTTTGACCCCAGCAGTGTCTCGCGCCGCGAGGGAATGGTCGCCGAGGCCCAGGCATAGGCGAGAGAAACTGAGATAGGACACTTGAAAACAATGTGCAATAATGAAATTCACTAAAATATCTTCAATTTACCCATCCTTTACATGCTATAGCACAGTGCTGGGACTAAGTCAAGTCGATTTACTTAACAAATCGGACTTACTTGAATAAGTAAGTAAGTATTCAATTTTCTCCAGACTTATAAGTAAGTCCTTTTTCGAGCCAGACTTAACTTGACTTGATAAAAGTGCATACCAGGTGTGTATAAGGAGGAAATATGCCTACCTCGTAGGTACCTAGGCGCCGTTGGGACGGCCTTTGGCTGTGGGCCCGTGCACCCCCCCCCCCCCCCCCCTTTTCCCCTTTCCCTTTTCTATAGCTATTTTCAGAATTACTCGAAGCCCTAGTATTCTTTTTTCCTAAAAATATAATTGGCTAAAGCTTACGTGACTTTATTAAGTCAAGTATACCAAGTAAGTAAGCCCAGATCTCGGACTTTGCTTGACTTGGCCAAGTAAGCCAAGTAGGGGGTCCGGACTTGACTTACTTGACTTAGTCCCAGCACTGCT